TTTGAAGTGCCACTTCAAAGTTGTAGAACTGCTCCAATATAATTTAAAGGGGCAGAAAAAGTATTTTACAATTCAATAAGCCCAAGTAGAGCTTTTAAAGGGCAATAAATCCCAGGGGCCATAGTCACAGGGCAAGAGACTGGCAAGCAGACCTCTCCAAGTACAAGTGGTGAGGTTACTTTTGCCACAGGGGGTTTTATTAAAATGTATGTTTTCTGTGCCTGGAGATAATTGAGTTTAAGTACAGTGCTTGACTCAATTATTTCCCAGGCATGGAGTAGGGATTATCTGTAATCGTAAGCCAATGTAATCTTGTGTATGTTTTCACTGTAGCCTACTCTCAGGTCCAGGGGGTGGTGCCCCTTGCATGGGGACCTGCATATAAGGACAGTTGTGCCAGTCAATAAATTAGTTCCTGCCTTCCCTCAACATAGAGTCTCATATCATGTGTGGGGGTAACAGCTGTATCTACCCTGAAGATTGCTATGTCACGATACTCCACTGGGCTATAATCCCTAGCTCTTTTAAGAGCTACATTGCTATACCTGCTATACTCTCTTGGAGGAGAGGTCTTCTCACTGGGAGCTGGATCCAGGAGTTTGGTCCAGGGTGAGAAGGGATGGCGAGACCCCGGCCACGTTGCGGTGGCTAAGGTGCTTATGGTGTCCGGTGCGGTGCTTATGGTGCTCGGCAACGTCTAGGAAGCAGCAATTGGCGGAGGCACTCAGGCGGTCCGTCACAACCAAATAAACTATGTTTCAAATAAAATTAAAGTAAACAGACTCTAAATTTAAAAATAAACATAATTAAGATATAAAAAGAATATATGTATCAATATAATACATTCATGGCTATTATTGATATTTCAAGCCTAAATTTCACTAAACCGCAGATTTCACTCTCCATAGTCCAAGTGGCAGACATAATTTACCCCCATTCTCTTTCCCATAGTCCACGTGGCAGACATAATTTACCCCCTTTCTCTTTTTCATAGTCCACGTGGCAGACATAATTTACCCCCTTTCTTTTTCCCATAGTCCACGTGGCAGACATAATTTACCCCCTTTCTCTTTCCCATAGTCCACGTGGCAGACATAATTTATCCCCTTGCTACTATGGATCAAAATAAAATGTAGCCTTCAAAGGCAAAAACTAAATGTGAGAAAGGCTGAACTTGGATGCACGCCTCTTTTCAGTCTGTGTGATTATGAAATTGGCTTTTTACTGGGGCTCAAGGTGGAGTTACCCTTTATAAAGGGGGAGGTGAGGTTGCGGGTGGGGACTGCATTGTTTTTTTACCTTTTCAATGGTACCTGTCCTGTAAGATTAGAAATGGCAACTACCCATTTGTGATGACGGCACTTGGAAAACAATAAAATTGAGTTTTCTTGTTTTTATAAATACCGTTTTTACTTTTTCAGGTCTTTCTCAGCTATTGAGTTATCCTGGTTTTATTTTTAAATATCTTCTGCTAGTCATTTCCTTATAATTTATTGTACATCTACAAATAAGTTAAGAAAAATCTTTTTTACAATGAGGTGAAAACTTTAAACCTTTTCGCAAGGTTTATTTCCGATCTAGTTAGTGTGATATCTACGACGTTGAGAGTTATTTCCTCCTCTTTATCTTCACCTTTTCTCATCGCTCTATGTTTCCAATTGGGAAAAAAAACATTCTGGGAAGATGTGCTCATTTTATTATTAAAACCTTTTGTTTGATGAAAATGATTTCTTCTTCTGCTTAGCAATCCCAATTGTTACCTTTTGACTCTCCAATAAATATAAAATGTTACTCATCGTCTCACGCTTATGTAGAATATTTACAGCCCCCTGGTAGAATGGCGGCTATCTTATCCGTCCCTCCGCCACTATTAGACCTATGTAGTAATCGCTCTCATGTAGCTTTTACATCTGTATCAGAACTGAAGTGTGAAGTTTGTCAGAAATGCTTTATTCTTGATAAAGGGAGGATTTTATAACAGCATGTTGTTCCAAAATTCTCTAAAAATTTTTTTATAAGATAGTAAGAGTATCTTTTATTTTACTTCTGCATCACGGGACTAATTCAGACACAAAAAATAGACTCTCATTGAGTCAGATAAAGAGAGGGGGACGGAGCCTAGCCATCAAGCAGAGCAGACGTGTGGGTCCTGAGCTCCTGCAAATTAAGCTGATTTTGGGACTTTAACCCCGATAAACCAGTGATTAAGCACAGGGAAAGACTTACTACACTAAGGGGGGTCCAGCGAAGCAACCTGAAGCCTAGACAAAGTCTAATACTGGGGACCTGCGATCCACTACTACAGCCTGCTGCAACAGAGCGGGGGAGAGGGGGCCGATCTCCCTGCTCACTAGCAACACAAATGCTTGGGAACACTCCTAACTCCCACCCCCCTTGGACCGGTCCCCACTGGACTATCTTGACGGGCCACCACGGCACTTACCTTTAATCCACGCCGGGGCCTAGTCGCAATCTACAGGCCTAGCTGCCAACTCACTTGGAGCAAAGCTACCTAAATCAAAATGGCGGTGGCATCTTGCCCTCGAAACGATACACACGTGCAGACAGGACTGTCCCCTTGTTGCTCCATGCAGCAATTCTTACAGCGACTTGACGAGCACTTTCGGCACGTCCTGGAAGCTCTGGAGCCCCGGGTGGCACTGCTGCAGCCTCAACCGCGTGTGAGTGTGAGGAGTGTGAACCGGAGAGCGCAGCAGACTACCTCGGCCTTGGCTGCTCTGGCTACTGGTCTACCTGGGCTGAGGGCCACCAAGGGCTTGACCCTGAGACATCGCCCACATCGACAGAGGGCCCACCTTTATAGGCAGAGACACACCATCGGAACCCACTGCTGCTCCCCACCCAGGAGGGACCCGGGCTACCGGGTCCGTGGCAAGAAGATGTCGCCCTCCTCACCGGCCTGGGGCTGGAGGGTGAGATTACCTCACTCCAAACGTGCCACCGCCTCTGCACACTGCCTCACTACAGCTATCACCGACTCCGACAGGGGCTGGAGGTGGAGACATGTCACACACTTGGATCGCTCAGGACTCCCCCAGATGGATCTCGCTGCCAACCCTGAGCAGAGCCCAGACAAGGAATTGGGTGAGGAGCCTTTATACAGGGTACAGCCGGATCAACTGATGCCGACTGCTAGTTACCTCAGCCGATGACCAGTACCTACATATGAGCCCAAGTCTGCAAGGGAGCGACCTAGGACCTCCTGTATACCGGACTTTCCTAATATTGAGTACTTTTAGAATGAGTCCTAGCCTCACATGCACTAACCACTTACGGTCTAAATGCTACAAAGTAAGGTACTCTAGATAAATTGGTCCCAGTGGTTACATCGTTCGCAAGCTTTAACCTACACTGCCTGAATGCTTACAATCCTATTTCGAATGCCTCGCCTGCTTTAGCAGCCAACATACCCTTTATACCCACTCAACCTAGGCATACTTGACTAACACGTTGACCAACAGTGCGATCATCGCCCTATCAAACCTTTTTTATACTTTATGGCAAAAACCCTAACTATAGGCGAGGCACATATAGCCTGCACCTGTCACCGTACAATCACACTATCACTCTTACGCTTACACATTAGCCTAGCAGATGTTCGCTCTAACACTGAGGCACGTTGCCTCTATCCTAGTATTACCCTACATAGCGTAACATGTTAAAAACATTACCTTTCGCCACAGACATGGCGAGGCGCACACTCTGATCTTACACATGCGTATATACACTCACCATGTCTGCGTTCTAGAACCATCTCATGATACTCTATAAAAATGTGCATGTCCATGCTACTACCCTGACTGTAAAACACGTTATAACGTTTGAGGAATGCCTCTGGGGTACCTCAGGCTTGTATGTACCAACTGTAACAGAACTATGATTATGCCTATATTTTTGCCTGAACTTAATCAACAATGCTGCTGGAGGGGTTAAACAGAACCGAATGGCTGGTGTTCATGTGATTATTGCTACTATAACATACAACCCAAAATACCGAACATCAGACCACCCAGGGGAACAGTTAATTGCTATTTTAACTCCCAGTGATTGTGGAGCCGTTCGCATGGTTCAGACGAATCCCTTTGTACTCAGGTTAGGTGGCCGCCATTTCGGGACTTTACACGTGTTCGCGGCCATCTTACGCACGAAAGGCGGTGTTTGCCTGTGAACGCATGGAACTAAAAACGGATACGCAAACAGGCGAACACCGCTGAGACCTCCAGGAGCTCGTAAGTTCGTGCTGAAACTACCGAACGACAGGCCGTTCGGTAGTTTTGTTTAAGCATGCATGGGGATTCAGGCGAACACCAGGATTACTGTGGATGGCAAGGGGTTCGTGGGGTTTTTATGCACGAACGGAGACCAACTGCAAGGCCAAAACTTATGGAACTCTTTTCGGCTGAAAAACCTGTGCGGTCGGTCAAAACTTCAAAGACCCATAACTCCTGAACCCCTCAACTGAATGACTTGAAATTTGGATATGTTGTTCCTGAGTGAGAGCTATTAAGCGGTGCTGGACTTAAAGGTGTACCCCCTGTTTTTGGGGTACATCCAGAATGTAGTTAAAATTGTGTCTGTTTTAATTGTGTTACATGTTATCTGAGGGGAGGAGACGTGTGGGTTGAACCATGTATGTAATTGGCTGTTGTAGTAATTATGTGGGTGTAGCCTTTCAGAGGGCACCATTGCATAAAAGGAGACCCTCTGTCATTAAACATCAGTTCTACTTGACCCTTCAAAACGTAGCCTCGTCTCGTTCTTGGAAGGGGATTTATGGTACCGTTACTCTGCCTCATTTTACAGCACTCCTGGATTATACAATTGGATATCGTGGATGGGAATAAGAATTCCATTACTTCACAGCAGCTTGCCTAGAAAAGGACGTCTCCAACGGCAGGTACCCCTCACCAGCTGGGTAGCCATTACACCAACTTTATGCACGGCAAAAAAAAAAAAAAAAGAAAAACTTATAAAGAGATCTTGTATTCAGTATTTATTGAATAATTTTATTAAGGTATCCAAAAGTTAACAGTTAAATGTCCAGCAATCTTGGGCTAATATGTAGTAAATACACACCCTGTAGAAATATATTTGTCTTGAGGCTGTAGTTCTGCTTGAAAATATAAACCTGTTATTTGAGGGTTGGCGGGGTGCTCTGTAGGTGTAGAACTGGCAGACAGGAGAAAACAATGAACAATGAGAAGGACACAGAAACCCCCAGATAGTCAACCAGGAGTCCTGAAATTGCGCTGAAACAGACCTTCCCCAGCACTTCAAGCGAGGAAAGGAGGCTGTAGTGAGTTGCCTAAGGAAAAATAAAGAAGGATCAACTAGTAAACTATGAATAAGAGGACAGAGCAAAGCTCATTAACAGAACTGCCCACATTGAAATGGTCAGCCCACCCGCAGTGTAGACCCTCACTTCATATTATCAACACGTCGCTAATTCCTCCCTTTATATTATCAACGTGTTGCTAATTCCTCGCTTCATTTTATCAACACGTCGCTAATTCCTCCCTTTATATTATCAACGTGTCGCTAATTCCTCGCTTCATATTATCAACACGTCGCTAATTCCTCCCTTTATATTATCAACGTATCGCTAATTCCTCGCTTTATATTATAAACGCGTGGCTAATTCCTTGCTTTATATTATAAACGTGTGGCTAATTCCTGACTTTATATTAGAAACATGTCACTTATTCCTGGCTTTATGTTATAAATGTGTGCTAATTCCTGACTCTGTATTAAAAACATGTCGCTAATTCCTCGCTTTATATTATAAACGTGTTGCTAATTCCTTGTTTTATATTATAAACGCGTGGCTAATTCCATGCTTTGTAATATAAACAGGTCGCTAATTCCTCACTTTATATTATAAACGTGTGGCTAATTCCATGCTTTGTAATATAAACATATCGCTAATTCCTCGCTTTATATAATAAACGCGTGGCTAATTCTTCGCTTTATATTATAAACGCGTGGCTAATTCCTTGCTTTATACAGTTGCAAGAAAAGTACGTGAACCCTTTGGAATGATATGGATTTCTGCATAAATTGGTCATAAAATGTGATCTGATCATCATCTAAGTCACAACAATAGACAATCACAGTCTGCTTAAACTAATAACACACAAAGAATGAAATGTTGCCATGTTTTTATTGAACACACCATGTAAACATTCACAGTGCAGGTGGAAAAAGTATGTGAACCCTTGGAATTAATAACTGGTTGAACCTCCTTTGGCAGCAATAACTTCAACCAAACGTTTCCTGTAGTTGCAGATCAGACGTGCGGTCAGGAGTAATTCTTGACTATTCCTCTTTACAGAGCTGTTTCAGTTCAGCAATATTCTTGGGATATCTGGTGTGAATCGCTTGCTTGAGGTCATGCCACAGCATCTCAATCGGGTTGAAGTCAGGACTCTGACTGGGCCACTTCAGAAGGCGTATTTTCTTCTGTTTAAGTCATTCTGTTGTTGATTTGCTTCTATGCTTTGGGTCATTGTCCAGTTGCAACACCCATCTTCTGTTGAGCTTCAGCTGGTAGACAGATGGCCTTATGTTCTCCTGCAAAATGTCTTGATAAACTTAGGAATTCATTTTTCCTTCGATGATAGCAATCCGTCCAGGCCCTGAAGCAGAAAAGCAGCCCCAAACCATGATGCCCCCACCACCATACTTCACAGTTGGGATGAGGTTTTGATGTTGGTGTGCTGTGCCTTTTTTTCGCCACACATAGTGTTGTGTGTTTCTTCCAAACAACTCAACTTTGGTTTCATCTGTCCACAGAATATTTTGCCAGTACTGCTGTGGAACATCCAGGTGCTCTTGTGCAAACTGTAAACGTGCAGCAATGTTTTGTTTGGACAGCAGTGGCTTCCTCTGTGGTATCCTCCCATGAAATCCATTCTTGTTTAGTGTTTTACGTATTGTAGATTCGCTAACAGGGATGTTAGCATTTGCCAGTGACTTTTGTAAGTCTTTAGCTGACACTCTAGGATTCTTCTTCACCTCATTGAGCAGTCTGCGCTGTGCTCTTGCAGTCATCTTTACAGGACGGCCACTCCTAGGGTGAGTAGCAGCAGTGCTGAACTTTCTCCATTTATAGACAATTTGTCTTACCGTAGACTGATGAACAGCCAGGCTTTTGGAGATACTTTTATAACCCTTTCCAGGTTTATGCAAGTCAACAATTCTTAATTGTAGGTCTTCTGAGAGCAATTTTGTGCGAGGCATCATTCACATCAGGCAATGCTTCTTGTGAAAAGCAAACCCAGAACTGGTGTGTGTTTTTTATAGGGCAAGACAGCTGTAACCAACACCTCCAATCTCATCTCATTGATTGGACTTCAGTTGGCTGGCATCTCACTCCAATTAGCTCTTGGAGATGTTATTAGTCTAGGGGTTCACATACTTTTTCCACCTGCACTGTGAATGTTTACATGGCGTGTTCAATAAAAACATGGCAACATTTCATTCTTTGTATGTTATTAGTTTAAGCAGACTGTGATTGTCTATTGTAGTGACTTAGATGATGATCAGATCACATTTTATGACCAATTTGTGCAGAAATCCATATCATTCCAAAGGATTCACATACTTTTTCTTGCAACTGTATTATAAACGTGTGGCTAATTCCTCACTTAATATCATAAAAATATCGCTAATTCCTCACTTTGTATTATAAATATGCCGCTATTTCCTCTCTTTATATTATAAATATGTCGCTAATTTCTCGCTTTATATTATAAACGTGTGGCTAATTCCTCGCTTTATATTATAAACGTGTGGCTAATTCCTCTCTTTATATTATAAACGTGTGGCTAATTCCTCGCTTTATATTATATACGTGTGGCTAATTCCTCGCTTTATATTATATACGTGTTGCTAATTCCTCACTTTGATTTGTATTTGACTTGTGCTTGCTCTGCCTCTGATCTGCCTTTCTTAACGATCTCAGGCAATCCAATGCTTTCCTATGAAAAGCATTGTGATTGGCTCAGAAGATCACTTCTGATGACGTCAGCCAAGCAGGCAGATCACGGCAGAACAAGCAGCAGCAGACTGGAATTAAAGTAAGATTTTACTATATTTAGGGGGGAAGGGGTGGGGACTCGATGGTGGTTTTAACACTATAGGGTCAGGAATGCATGTTTGTGTTCCTGACCCTATAGTGTTCCTTTAACCTTGTTTTGGATGAACAGTATAAAAAGATGTGACTAAAGACTGAACTTCATGGACTTGAGTCTTTTTCCAACCTAAATTACAATGTAACTATGTAACCAGGCTTCATATATTATCACGCTGAACTCTATGTAACTATGTAACCAGGCTCCATATATTATCATGCTAAACTCTATGTAACTATGTAACCAGGCTTCATATATTATCATGCTGAACTCTATGTAACTATGCAACCAGGCTTCATATATTATCACACTGAACTCTATGTAACTATGTAACCAGGCTTCATATATTATCATGCTAAACTCTATGTAACTATGTAACCAGGCTTCATATATTATCACACTGAACTCTATGTAACTATGTAACCAGGCTTCATATATTATCACACTGAACTCTATGTAACTATGTAACCAGGCTTCATATATTATCACGCTGAACTCTATGTAACTATGTAACCAGGCTTCATATATTATCACGCTGAACTCTATGTAACTAGGCTTCATATATCATCATGCTGAACTCAGGACCATATTTAACAACCCAGAGGGGACAATCACTGCCTAACAAATCCCACTAGTCTGAAAATACAGGCGAAACTTAAATAGGCAGTATAGTCACCAAAACAACTTTAGCCTAATAAAGCAGTATAGATCATGTTTCTGAAGTCTCACTGATTTAACTCCTAAATGGCAGAGAATTGAGCAGTGAGACTGCAGGGGCATGTTCTATACACCAAAACTGCTTCATTAAGCTAAAGTTGTTTTGGTGACTAAAGTGTCCCTTTAATTTCAAAGCCAGGAACATCCCACCTCACCTGGATGGATTTATCCGCTTGCTGGGTGCAGTGCATCATGAGACTGAACGTGACTGTGGTGATTATACCGGCAAGGAAATGCTGGAGCACTAGACTGAGCAGAATGCAGACTGAAAGAGAAAGGTTAACAGTTTATCAGGTGAATGTCCAACAATTAGTGGGAGAGAGATGCAGACCATCAACACTGGTGGAGAGACAACCCAAGCACATATAGGGGGAGTGAAGTTACCAGAGAGGGCTTGGCCTCTGCGTATGATCACAGGTAAGTTTACATTTTATTTCTTTATTTGTATTTATTTTTACAAGGGGGGCTTAAGACATCCAAAAACTGTTTTATTAGAGTCCGAGAGGATATTGAGAGCAGACAAGAGCTAAAAAAAAAAAAAAAAGCAGTTGGCTGGGGCATTGTTCAGTTCCTAGTTTGTACAGAGAGAACCTAAATCCTTTTAATCAGACTAAATCCACCATAAAGTAACCTCACAGTTATACTGTGTTCAAGCCAAACTCTGTCAAAGTAACCCAATATTGTGGTGTATCCCTAATTTCAAAACACGCCTACAGCACCACCATTACTGAGAAACACATGTTCTGATTGCGACCCCAATCACATTTCAGAGTCCAGGCCAGAATCTGAGCACCTTGCCTCTCCACCATAGTGAGCATGGATTTCACATATGGTTTTTACCTTAGGACGATCCGAGGCAATCTGCAGACACACCAGAATGCAAAAGAATACTGAGAACAGACCGGTCTGGGAGCTTCTCTCAATCTTCCAGAAAGAACTTACATTATATGCATATCAAATTGAACCTACCCATAGGGCAGTCCAAATCTGAAATGCTGTCTGTCCCCTCTGCACGAGAGATACAGTGACCCACTTCAGCCTTGATGGGCCTCATCAGTGAGGTGTAGCTGATAACCTTTTAGGCACAGTGAGCTGTATTACCATGTACCTTAGCCATTTTCCAAAGATACCCAAAGAGACCGCAAGAAAATAATGAAAAGTTCCAACAACTTGCAATGTAGTGGGTCTTGCTGTATCCTTAAGCTAGTTTTAACTCAATTTGTCATTACAGAAGAACCTAATCCATTAGTGTATTTGTTTGATCCTTCCTTAAAGGATGATCTAGATCTGAAATATTGGTGGATTCCCTCAACAAAAAACATTCAGCAATCCCAGACAATATCAAAGAGCTGTGACTAACACCCCCCCGGGCACAGGGGTTTGACTTCTTGCTTAGGGTCTCCCTGAGTTAAAAAGGTAATCGGTAACAGAACCACCCATATAGAGGGAACTTGCCAATATTTGGGATCTGAACTGTCCTCATGGGTATGACCAGTCTGATATATCAAAAACTAGATATTTTACAAAAACAAACCTTCATAAGACTTAAACCATATTTCTTTAACCAATTCACAGTCCCACCATATGTGTATATGTTCCCTTTGACTTATTGCATCTTCAACATAAATTTGACTGATTGGGGGAAATCTTTGATGTTCGATTGGGGCCCAGTACCACCCATTGGCTATCTTATATTGCATTTCTGTTAAATTTAGACAAACTATCAATGATGAAATAGTTAATGGTTTTATCCATTCTTCGCCTTTCTCTATTAATAAATCATTTTCCCATTTAGCCATAACATGAATTTTATCTGGGATCTCGATACTCGCAATCTAATTACTTGTCTTTGAAAGTATTTTTTCAGTTCTTGAATAGTTAGTTTTTTAAAATATTTTTTTTACATTTGGAAATTGAAATTGTGTTCTTGAACTAAATTTTTATTTAGAATATTTTTCACCCTTAGATAATTAAAGATCTGAGAATTATGGAGATCATATTCGTCTTATAAATCTGCAAATGCTTAATTTAATAAGATGGCAAATTCTATCAATTCCTTTTTGTTTCCATAGTTTCTGATTTAGATCTTCTGTTATTGATTGCAAAATATCAACTTTTAGTGTTAAAACGATCTTTGAAGGAATTATTTAGTTTTTTTTAATGTTGATACGTACCTCTTATGTCTGGCTTAAAGGGACACTATAGTCACCTGAACAACTTTAGCTTAATGAAGCAGTTTTGGTGTATAGAACATGCCCCTGCAGCCTCACTACTCGATCCTCTGCCATTTAGGAAATAAATCCCTTTGTTTATGACCCCTAGTCACACCTCCCTGCATGTGACTTGCACAGCCTTCCATAAACACTTCCTGTAAAGAGAGCCCTATTTAGGCTTTCTTTATTGCAAGTTCTGTTTAAGATTTTCTTATCCCCTGCTATGTTAATAGCTTGCTAGACCTTGCAAGAGCCTCCTGTATGTGATTAAAGTTCAATTTAGAGATTGAGATACAATTATTTAAGGTAAATTACATCTGTTTGAAAGTGAAACCATTTTTTTTTTCATGCAGGCTCTGTCAATCATAGCCAGGGGAGGTGTGGCTAGGGCTGCCTAAACAGAAACAAAGTGATTTAACTCCTAAATGACAGTGAATTGAGCAGTGAAATGATCTATACACTAAAACTGCTTTATTTAGCTAAAGTAATTTAGGTGACTATAGTGTTCCTTTAACATTTTAGTCTTGTTCTTTAAAGGACCACTATCGGCACCCAAGACCGCTTCATCTTAATGAAGTGGTCTGGGTGCCAGGTCTAGCTAGGATTAACCCTTTTTTCTGTAAACATAACAGTTTCAGAGAAACTGCTATGTTTAACTATGGGTTAATCCAGCCTCTAGTGGCTGTCTCATTGACAGCTGCTAGAGGCGCTTCCATGCTTCTCACTGTGATTTTCACAATGAGAAGACGCCAGCGTCCATAGGAAAGCATTGATAATGCTTTCCTATAGACTGTCTGAATGCGCGCGCGGCTATTGACGCGCATGCGCATTCAGCCGGTGACGGAAGAAGAGCTCCCCGCCCGGCGCTGGAGAAAGAGGTAAGTTTAACCCCTTCCTCTCCCTAGAGCCTGGCGGGAGGGGGACCCTGATGGTGGGGGCATCCTTAGGGCACTATAGTGCCAGGAAAACGAGTGTTTTCCTGGCACTATAGTGGTCCTTGAAATACGATACCAACTGCTTTTCTTTTGTATTCCACATAATGGAGGATAAATTTGTACATCCTGTAGCATTTTATTTCTATGTCTTGCCAGCCTACTAATTCTGGAGAATAGATTTATAATCGATAAATATGTGTTGGCATACTAGATTGATATAGTTTCCTTATGTTTGGGAATCTGAGACCTCCTTTATTCTTTTTTTTTTTTTTTATGCAAGGGATTGACATACATGCTGTAGCGGAACGCCAATAATAAATCCACGAATTCCGCTGGTCCAGAAACGAATCCACAGTCAAGCGCTGAAAACAACAAGGCAATATCCCCAACCTCCCAATAACCGGACGAGACACAGTTTTGGGAGTCAACTGAAATCCTTTTAATCGGCAAGACAATTTATACAAGTCCCCATGCAAGGGGTTTCCTGAGTCCCTCCCCAGGGGCACTCCCAGAGGGGACTACATGGGGGACTTACAGTACAACATATTTCTCCCATCAGGCACCGCTGCACGAGAGGGATCATCCTCCCAGAATGCACCGTTAAGGGGATTATCCCCTCGTGCAGCAGAACCGGCAATTCATATAAAAATCCATAACTTGGTGAATATACAGTGGATTTACACGAATGGACGTTCGGTAGATAGCTGGGGTCTGAGGGTATCATTGGTGAGATTACCGCTCAGATCCCAGCTAAAATAACCGAACGCCGCACGAACAACACAATTTGTATAAAATATATAAAAAGAACCGATTGCATTTAGGGAACAAAATACCGAATGTCCCGAAACTCCCGAACGTCCTGGAGGTTCAGCGGGGCTCATGCCGTCGGGTAGCCATTTTTAGTACCAGGCGCTCGACGACATAACCCCGCTGAGGGAACAAAGGATCCAAGATGGCCGACCGCCGTATGGTCGGTAGTCGAACGACGGCCACCCAGGAGAGCCTCTAATTACCGATTGCAACATTGTTAACTAGCGCCACACGCCTCTAAGTGTGTGGGCTATTAGGGGGTATCGCGTTCGTTTCACGAACGGCCCTCCAAAGTGCCGTTCGTGAATCGAACGGGAATCCCCATACAAACTGCCATTGGCATTCGGCAAAACAGGTAATTACAGTCTCTGCAGAAAATACATCAAGCACATACATAAGAATAAAGCGCATATCTCCCCAGACCTGTAGGCAACCCTTAAAGGCACAGTCTCTAATTATAGTTCAAGTGGCTAGGTTTGCCACACATGCGTACGATGCCACAACAGTATATATGATTTACAACAGGAACAATAATATGACATGAGTTAGCACTGCACATTTCTGATATAATATAGAAAAGTGGGGAAAGTGGGCAGTCCTTTCCTCTTCTGTTATTTAGTAAAAAACCAGGATGATAAAATACCAAGTCTAACAGTTCTCGCGAATAGAGAATGTTTAATGCATCCAGCCCTCTAAACCAAATCTTTGGAACGATTTGCTCATAAATCCACAGCTGACTCTTTTGAATGCTTTTTCAGCATCAATCGACTGAGTCAGCAGGGGAACACCAGACTTGTCGACTGAGTCCATTATGTTTATAAGTGTGATCCTGAGAATCTGTTTGTAATAAAACCAATTTGATCTCAGTGAATCAAGTTATTTAAAGTTGGGTTTAACCTTTCTAGTCTGCCCAATTTTCTAAATACTTTTATTGGTCCCTGGCCTTATCTTATAGTTAGGATAGCCTTATGCCTATCCCACGCATGCTTAAACTCCTTTACTGTGTTAACCTCTACCACTTCAGCTGGAAGGCTATTCCATGCATCCACTACCCTCTCAGTAAAGTAATACTTCCTGATATTATTTTTAAACCTTTGTCCCTAATTTAAGACTATGTCCTCTTGTTGTGGTAGTTTTTCTTCTTTTAAATTTAGTCTCCTCCTTTACTGTGTTGATTCCCTTTATATATTTAAATGTTTCTATCATATCCCCCCCTGTCTCGTCTTTCCTCCAAGCTATACATGTTAAAGTTAACCTTTCCTTGTACGTTTTATCCTGCAATCCATAAAACAGTTCTTGGTTAGCCCTTCTCTGAACTCTCTCTACAGTATCGGGTTTGTTTTCCTGGAACTGGAGAGTCCCTTTAAGTCATGTGAAACAATCACCCCTAAATCCCTTTCCTCAGATGTTGAGGTTAGGACCCTGTGGCGAAACCGACCTCGCCATTGGGCATTGGAGAAGACTGATTGCCAGCCTCCTGCCATGTGACTATGGCCCCTGGGATGTATTGCCCTTTAAAGACATGATTTGGGCATAATGGATTTGTGTTGTGCTGCTGCTGGTCCTTTACGAACCATCTGGGGACATACTGTGGAGTTACTGGGTGGCCACCATTTCCTGTATCAGAGGCACATGGTGAGAACAATGGATATCGGCCATTTTAACTCACAGACACTGTTTGGACTTTTCAACACGGTGCCATCTCGCCAGTATTTGTTGCACAGAGACATCGTGCGGTGGTTTTGGACTATACAGCAGGGGACACATTATACAGTGATTGTTTTTCATTTAGCCTGTATATGTTCTGCAGAATCTGCATTAAACTGTATCTTCCAAAGTACTGAACGGATCTGGGTGAATTTTGGATATGTGGTTCACCCAGATTCCCCGGTTCCAAGGATATACTTATGGGGTTATTGCATGTTTTGGGGTCCCTGTGATGTGTTTTATGAAACTGTATTTCTCTGTCTGTGATAATTATTGTTGCAGAGCTGCAATTTTATAATCCCAGGATCTCTGCTGGTAGAATGCAATAACCAAGTACAAAGCTGGAAGCAGGCAATATTCCCAAATCCTCCCAAGAACCAGACAAAACACAGTCTGAGAGTCAACTGCCACTTTATTCAAAAAGACTGATATTTAAAGCAGGTCACTCAACTGTCACTTTATTAAAAATAACTGATATTTAAAGCAGGTCACTCAACAGGGGTTCCCAAAGATGGGCAGCAGGGGTTTTGGTTGAGGGGACTGGAGGGAGACTACCGTTTCCAGGTCCTCCTCCCAACAGCCCCTGCTGTAACATACAGTAATGAAAACTACGAGGACATAAACCGCTACCTTTCTACTTCAAAATATACAACTTAGTCAGTTTTAATAGCAATGCTAACGAATGGGGAGGATTCGAACAGACATACACAGTACAGCATAAATTAAACATAGCCGGAGACACCACACTATACCGGCGCGCAGTACACAACAGAAAATAGGCACAACCATTCTATCTTAGGCAGTCCCAAGTGGCTAGGTTTGCCACAATTATATTACCCATTGTGCTCAGTAATCATATCACAGGCAGAGGGGAGGATTTTGTGTGGGAGTGTCTGTGTGTATTGTAGAGATTGATTGGTTGTTCTGTAAAACCCTGTGGGCAGTACTAAATTTGTGGATTGGGAATAAAAGAGGCTGTATGTGCCAGTACAGTCAGATTCTGCTTAACCCTCAAAACGAAGTGTCGTCTCGTTATTGGGGGAATTGGATTGTATGCTGACTGCCAGGAGTGTAACCCTTTCGTATGGTTTTCCTGTTCGGATATTTCCAGTGTTCATGTGGTTCCAGTTCGGGAGATCGGTGCTTACAGTAGCTGTCGGTGTAGCTGAGAAAGGGGAATATCGCCTAAATGGTTTTTAACCGCTTGTGGGCAAAACGGTCCGTTACAGACTATCAAATATTTTGTACTCTGCCCTTGGGTTTTTAACTTGCACTTATCCACATTAAATGTCAGTTGCCACAGCTCTGACCATTTTCACACTGTATGGAATGAGAAGCTGCTGGTAGAACCCCAATACAGAGTGAGCTTATTATTATTCACACTGTATGGAATGAGAAGCTGCTGGTAGAACCCCAATACAGAGTGAGCTTACTACAGGGAGTGCAGAATTATTAGGCAAATGAGTATTTTGACATCATCATCCTCTTTATGCATGTTGTCTTACTCCAAGCTGTATAGGCTCGAAAGCCTACTACCAATTAAGCATATTAGGTGATGTGCATCTCTGTAATGAGAAGGGTTGTGGTCTAATGACATCAACACCCTATATCAGGTGTGCATAATTATTAGGCAACTTCCTTTCCTTTGGCAAAATGGGTCAAAAGAAGGACTTGACAGGCTCAGAAAAGTCAAAAATAGTGAGATATCTTGCAGAGGGATGCAGCACTCTTAAAATTGCAAAGCTTCTGAAGCGTGATCATCGAACAATCAAGCGTTTCATTCAAAATAGTAAACAGGGTCGCAAGAAGCGTGTGGAAAAACCAAGGCGCAAAATAACTGCCCATGAACTGAGAAAAGTCAAGCGTGCAGCTGCCACGATGCCACTTGCCACCAGTTTGGCCATATTTCAGAGCTGCAACATCACTGGAGTGCCCAAAAGCACAAGGTGTGCAATACTCAGAGACATGGCCAAGGTAAGAAAGGCTGAAAGACGACCACCACTGAACAAGACACACAAGCTGAAACGTCAAGACTGGGCCAAGAAATATCTCAAGACTGATTTTTCTAAGGTTTTATGGACTGATGAAATGAGAGTGAGTCTTGATGGGCCAGATGGATGGGCCCGTGGCTGGATTGGTAAAGGGCAGAGAGCTCCAGTCCGACTCAGACGCCAGCAAGGTGGAGGTGGAGTACTGGTTTGGGCTGGTATCATCAAAGATGAGCTTGTGGGGCCTTTTCGGGTTGAGGATGGAGTCAAGCTCAACTCCACAGTCCTACTGCCAGTTCCTGGAAGACACCTTCTTCAAGCAGTGGTACAGGAAGAAGTCTGCATCCTTCAAGAAAAACATGATTTTCATGCAGGACAATGCTCCATCACACGGGTCCAAGTACTCCACAGCGTGGCTGGCAAGAAAGGGTATAAAAGAAGAAAATCTAATGACATGGCCTCCTTGTTCACCTGATCTGAACCCCACTGAGAACCTGTGGTCCATCATCAAATGTGAGATTTACAAGGAGGGAAAACAGTACACCTCTCTGAACAGTGTCTGGGAGGCTGTGGTTGCTGCTGCACGCAATGTTGATGGTGAACAGATCAAAACACTGACAGAATCCATGGATGGCAGGCTTTTGAGTGTCCTTGCAAAGAAAGGTGGCTATATTGGTCACTGATTTGTTTTTGTTTTGTTTTTGAATGTCAGAAATGTATATTTGTGAATGTTGAGATGTTATATTGGTTTCACTGGTAATAATAAATAATTGAAATGGGTATATATTTGTTTTTTGTTAAGTTGCCTAATAATTATGCACAGTAATAGTCACCTGCACACACAGATATCCCCTAACATAGCTAAAACTAAAAACAAACTAAAAACTACTTCCAAAAATATTCAGCTTTGATATTAATGAGTTTTTTGGGTTCATTGAGAACATGGTTGTTGTTCAATAATAAAATTAATCCTCAAAAATACAACTTGCCTAATAATTCTGCACTCCCTGTATTATTCACACAGTATGGAATGAGAAGCTGCTGGGAGAGCCCCAATACAGAGTGAGCTTACTATTATTCACACTGTATGGAATGAGAAGCTGCTGGTAGAACCCCAATACAGAGTGAGCTTACTATTATTCACACTGTATGGAATGAGAAGCTGCTGGTAGAACCCCAATACAGAGTAAGCTTACTATTATTCACACTTTATGGAATGAGAAGCTGCTGGTAGAACCCCAATACAGAGTGAGCTTACTATTATTCACACTGTATGGAATGAGAAGCTGCTGGTAGAACCCCAATGCAGAGTAAGCTTACTATTATTCACACTGTATGGAATGAGAAGCGGCTGGTAGAACCCCAATACAGAGTAAGCTTACTATTATTCACACAGTATGGAATGGGAAGCTGCTGGTAGAACCCCAATACAGAGTAAGCTTACTATTATTCACACTGTATGGAATGAGAAGCTGCTGGGAGAACCCCAATACAGAGTGAACTTACTATTATTCACACTGTATGGAATGGGAAGCTGCTGGTAGAACCGCAATACAGAGTAAGCTTACTATTATTCACACTGTATGGAATGAGAAGCTGCTGGTAGAACCCCAATACAGAGTGAGCTTACTATTATTCACACTGTATGGAATGAGAAGCTGCTGGTAGAACCCCAATACAGAGTGAGCTTACTATTATTCACACTGTATGGAATGAGAAGCTGCTGGTAGAACCCCAATACAGAGTAAGCTTACTATTATTCACACTGTATGGAATGAGAAGCTGCTGGTAGAACCCCAATACAGAGTGAGCTTACTATTATTCACACTGTATGGAATGAGAAGCTGCTGGGAGAACCCCAATACAGAGTGAGCTTACTATTATTCACACTGTATGGAATGAGAAGCTGCTGGTAGAACCCCAATACAGAGTAAGCTTACTATTATTCACACTGTATGGAATGAGAAGCTGCTGGTAGAACCCCAATACAGAGTGAGCTTACTATTATTCACACTGTATGGAATGGGAAGCTGCTGGTAGAACCCCAATACAGAGTGAGCTTACTATTATTCACACTGTATGGAATGAGAAGCTGCTGGTAGAACCCCAATACAGAGTGAGCTTACTATTATTCACACTGTATGGAATGAGAAGCTGCTGGGAGAACCCCAATACAGAGTGAGCTTACTATTATTCACACTGTATACAATAACATATACACATTCCTGATGAAGGAAGAATAAAAAAAAAAAATTAAACGTACACACAGCAGCAATAGAAAGAAAGCTTCCAGACTCACCGTGCAGGAGTCTGGCATCTGGTCTCAGTGCCCTGAGAAGCATCGTCTGAAGCACTAAGCAAAGACTTCTCAAGCATAACGTGGTTCTCAATAGTGATGGTAGATACCTGAAGCACAGAACAAGGGAAATGGTGAAAAAACAAAAAAGACAGAACCAAGAAAAGGACGAACACATAGATTCCGACGGGATCCAGGTAAATCTGACTACTTACTCTGGGTGGGTGCCATGGGACTGTAGTGGTTATGGTGCTTGGAGTGTTTCTTTAACCCCTTAAGGACACATGACATGTGTGACATGTCATGATTCCCTTCAATTCCAGAAGTTTGGTCCTTAAGGGGTTAATAGGGCAGTACTGTAACAAAGCTACACAATACAACAATAAAACACATATACGCCCTGTATTCAAACTCCCAGCACTGATCACTTCTATCCGTTAACTAACATGTGAATCATTAAATCATACCGCCCAACTAGCCAGGAATTTCTTTTACATTATATGTTACAAAACTAATTTCATAACAAGGCTTTTATTATGCATTAACTTTCTTTACCAGCATGTGGATAGATTATCAAAGACTCATACAAATGCGTCGGGATTGTCTTTGCGATTCAGACAGGAATCTTCACCCCCTGGTGATATCAGACCAACTACCTCTAATAGCCTCCCTTATCTCGGGTCACACGAATCTCATAGAGAATTTTCGGATATAACTAGAAACATTCTCGCAGAAACATGGGCACCAGGCAAGTGCAAGTTACGGATCAGCCTGGAAAATTTGGTTTAATTGGTGCATGGAATGGGCTGTGCATCCCATACATTCGAATTTAGCAAATGTACCTAACTTTATGGCTTAATATTTGCTTTACTTTTTTTTAACTCAAAACCTCCCAGCAGCAAAGAAATGGGTAACAGTGTAAAATAAAAGTCAACAAATCACATAGAAGGTATCAGTAACAATGGCTAATGAAGTTCCTCCCACTTTCTTTGCTGCTTGCCTCCCAGGTGAGTCTACTCCAATTACACTGCTATTAAAGGGATCCTATAGTGCCAGGATAACAAACCTGTTTTCCTGGCATTATAGGCTCCTGGAGTGCCCTCCTCCCTCGGGGCACCGCTTTAGCCACTTACCTGAATACAGCGCCGATGTCCCTGTTACTAATATTGATAATATGTCTGACCTACAAGTTGCCTCTATTTCGGCTAAACTTAAAGCCTGGCTCTTTTCTACTATTGCAGAGTCAATCCCGAAGGCCCTTGTTGCCCTACAGTAACAACCTAATCCAGTTCCCAAGGTAACATTACGACGCCTCTCTGATCCATCTGATAATGAGGGTGCTCCCCACAAACGCCCCTGGAAGGGTGACAGCACATCTGCTGGCAAAGGCAAGGCGCCAGCGAAGTCTCCAAGATTAGCCCATTCTTCCCTACCACGGCTTCCTGACCTAGACCCTTTTAGAGGGCTTTTTGTCACATGGTCTACAGATCGTGGACGAGTATAATGCTGGTTATTCTGATGACGACCTTCCCTTCGATAACAGAGCCAACGCTCAATCCCAGTATGTCAGAGAGACTATCATTGATCAGTCACAGAACTCAACTACCAATTCACAGCAAGACAGTCCCACAAGACTCTGCTGGACTACCAGGGCAAACCCTATTTTGACACAAGACTGATTAAGTACCCTCGCTCAGCCAAATGGGCCCCACCTGAGCATATTGCTCAGTTGTGCAAACTATGGTTACGTAAACCCCTGGATAAAAAGGTCAGAAATAAACTCAAACTCAGAGCCGAATGTACTCACCCAATTATCCCAGACAAAGTTGCTCACACACCCAAGTTTGACCCTATTCTGATCACATTCCTTACAAGATTGGGTAAAGACCTTTGTAAGGGCATAAATTGCTCAATATTGCAAGGCCACTTATTCAGATCTTCATTTTAGCTGAAGATGCTGTGGCGAAACCAACCTCGCCACTGTACACTGGAGAAGCCTGGTTGCTCGCCTGCTGCCTTTGGACTATGGCCCCATGTTAAGACATCTTTTTCCATGCAGAAAAGACTTATTCGTGTTTTCTGCCGGGTGTTCGGTAGATTCAATCTACCGAACAACCGCACGAATGAATAGACCACCTGGGAGCTGGAGTGTGCCGGCAATTAACCTCCCTGAAGCTGCGGTTAACCGCAGCTTAATTGACGAATGCTGGGTGGCCGCCATTCGTATCACGAACACGAGGTCGCGGCCATTTTAAACATGCGAATGCACAGCGGTGTTCGACGCTTAATTCATGGAACTGAAATCGGACACAGTTTTGCGCGAACACCGCTGAAGCCGCCGACCTCCCTTCTTGTTTGGTGAAAGTCCACGAACGGCCCGGTGTTCGGTAGTTTTGTTTGAGTGTGTTGTACCCCAGATAGGAATCCCATGGAGCCCATTCGCATGAAACTGACTGTGTAAAGACTTTGGCTCCATGGCGATTAAACTGTATTCGTGCGGTCTGAGCGCCATTCGCTTAATAAAGTGTGCTCAGACCTGAGCTATCTGGGGATATGTAGAACGTATATGTTTTATGTACTGAATGTAACTGTAGGTGATTTTATGTCTTTTACTGTTGGTTTTCTGCCATGTGGTTAATGGAGTTTTGCCTCTTCTCAATTATCTCCAGAGCAGAGAGGAGGGATTGTGATGCATTGTGGGATGGTTGAAATGTGTAAGTCTGTGATTGGTCCTTTTACCCTTTGTGTCCCAGTCTCCCATTTGGTCCCTATGGGGAGTGTCCACCAGGTGGAAGACTTGCATAAAAACCGGGCAGTTGGCCAAGCAAGTTACAGAGAGAGAAGCGTGTCATCCTTCCTCCCCAGCGGCAGGGTGTGTCCCAGGGAGCTGAAGGTGTCGTCCTTCCTCCCCAGCGGCAGTGTGTCCCCCAGGGAGCTGAAGGTGTCGTCCTTCCTCCCCAGCGGCAGTGTGTCCCCCAGGGAGCTGAAGGTGTCTTCCTTCCTCCCCAGCGGCAGTGTGTGTCCCAGGGAGCTGAAGGTGTCGTCCTTCCTCCCCAGCGGCAGTGTGTCCCCCAGGGAGTTGAAGGTGTCGTCCTTCCTCCCCAGCGGCAGTGTGTGTCCCAGGGAGCTGAAGGTGTCGTCCTTCCTCCCCAGCGGCAGTGTGTGTCCCAGGGAGCTGAAGGTGTCGTCCGTCCTCCCCAGCGGCCGTGTGTGTTCTTAGGAGAGGAGACAGTTGGTCCCTCTCCTCAGCAGTCAAGTGATTCCCAGGGAGCCGAAGGTACCGTCCTCCCTCCCCAGCGGCAGGACAATATATTGAAAGGGGAGACAGTCGGTTCCCCTCTCACCCAGCAGGGAGAGTGTCAGGGAGAAGAGCTTGTTGCCCCCTCTCCACAGCGGCAGCGTAGCCCACCAAGGAGAGACATTAAGCTCCCCACCGGCGCAGATAGGACTGTGGTCTCTGCACCCAAGCTACAGGGAGTATGGACCACCGGTCCGGCTCCCCAGCGGCAGAGTATTCTACCAGGAGGGGAGAATACTTCCCAGCGGCGGCCTAGCCCACCAAGGGGAGATGAGAAGCCCCACAACTGTGCAGATGGGACCGTGGTCTCTGCACTTACAGCACAGGGTGTAAGGACGGTCGGTTTTGCCCCCCAGCGACAGGGCTGTTTAGCCAAAGGGGAGACAGTCGGTCTTCCCCTCCAGCAACTAGGCTCCAACCAGACTACTCCCGTGGTAGTGCTGGCACCAGGACAGAGTACCGCTGGTCTCTGCCCACTCAGCAACCCACCCAGTCCGCTTACCAGTCACCCACACAGCCATGGTGAGGCGCCTGGACATGGACAACGTTCTCCTCTACCTAGGTGTAGTAACCAGTGTGGCGAAACCGACCTCGCCACGTGTCCTTGGAGGGGGCTGCTTGCCCGCCTCTTGCCTTTGGACTATGGACCAGACTTTATGTGAATGTGTTAACCCAGATTCCATGGAGCCCATTCGTGTAGTTAAAGACTTCGGCTCCATGGCAATTGAACTGTGTGAATAGGATCTGAGCGCTATTCGGTAGTTTTGTGCGCTCAGATCCCAGCAATCTGGGGATATGTGAAATGTCTGTGTGTTATGTGTAAAAGGTGACTATATGTATTTTAAAGTGTTTTATGTCTTTTTGCAACCATGTGCTCAATGGAGTCTGCCTCTATCCCTGGATAATTGGATTACTTTCCCCCATTTTCTCCAGGATAGAGGGCTCTGTAAAACCTGTGTGAGCCAGATAACCATGTGCCAGCCAGGGCCCAAAAGATACTTTTACTAACTTTTGAACCCCTGTTCGGATTCATGCCATTTTTTAATATGTTGTTCCCCTGAATGGATTGATTGTGAATATGTAATTTTATGTGAATGTGATGTATGTTTTTTTTTTTTTTTTTTATAAATTCTTTATTTATGACCTATATGAGATTACAGAACAAAGAGAGAGCGTAGAGGGGGTACCGTCATACACAGCAAAAACCACAAAGATTCACAGTTAGTACATTTGTTTGTCGATTAACAGAGATTTTGTGGGGTCTTGTGGGATGTGCATTCCCGTACCTTCGCGTGTATGAGAGGTGTTCCTCCTGTTCTGAGTGTGTCTGTGTGTGCTTTTGTGTGATGTATGGTTTTAAAGTTATGAAAGTTGGGTAGAAAGTATGTTTTAACTGTATGTGTAATTGAGTTTCCTCTCAGGATAAGGGGAGGGAATATGTGGGATGTAACTGATATGTGATTGGTTGTTTTATACCTCCCTGTGGGCGGTCCTGTATGTGAAAGGCTGTAATAAGAACCAGGCTGGGTGTGCCAGCACAAAGTTCCTGTTTAACCCTCAAAGTGAAGTATCGTCTCATTATTGGGGGAGGATTCATGGTATTCTGTTCCAGTTTGACTGCTAGGAGTGTAAACCTATTCGCATGGTTTTTCCTATTCGGCTGTATACAAAATTCATATGCTTGAGAGAAGGTATACGCTTCTCCGGTTCGGTGATTGTGGTGTCTGCCAGAGTGCTTGGAGTCCTCAGGAAACGCTAGGAGCATCCTTTAACGGAGGTACCCAGTCGGGGTGCAAGGTGATCCCTTACAACCAGTTCTTGTGGGTGGACTGTATTACTGATTGTGTTTTGTGGGTGGGCTGCAGGACTAACAAGGGCACTGACCGGCATGAGGTCAGATACCCTGTTAGTCTGATTGGTAAAGGGGAGAAGTGTGGCGAAACCAACCTCGCCACTGTACACTGGAGAAGCCTGGTTGCTCGCCTGCTGCCTTTGGACTATGGCCCCATGTTAAAAGACATCTTTTTCCATGCAGAAAAGACTTATTCGTGCTTTTCGGCACGAATGAATAGACCACCTGGGAGCTGGAGTATGCCGGCAATTAACCTCCCTGAAGCTGCGGTTAACCGCAGCTTAATTGACGAATGCTGGGTGGCCGCCATTCGTATCACGAACACGAGGTCGCGGCCATTTTAAACATGCGAATGCACAGCGGTGTTCAACGATTAATTCATGGAACTGAAATCCGACACATTTCTGCGCGAACACCGCTGAAGCCGCCGACCTCTCTTCTTGTTCAGTGAAAGTGCACGAATGGCCCGGTGTTCGGTAGTTTTGTTTGAGTGTGTTGTACCCCAGATAGGAATCCCATGGAGCCCATTCGCATGAAACTGACTGTGTAAAGACTTTGGCTCCATGGCGATTAAACTGTATTCGTGCGGTCTGAGCGCCATTCGCTTAATAAAGTGTGCTCAGACCTGAGCTATCTGGGGATATGTAGAACGTATATGTTTTATGTACTGAATGTAACTGTAGGTTATTTTATGTCTGTTACTGTTTGTTTTCTGCCATGTGGTTAATGGAGTTTTGCCTCTGTCTTTGGAGATAATTGAATTACTTCTCAATTATCTCCAGAGCAGAGAGGAGGGATTGTGATGCGGGTGGGAGACCTGCATAAAAGCCGGGCAGTTAGCCCCAGTAAATCAGTTCCTGCTTAACCCTCAAAGTGAAGTGTCGTCTCATTATTGGGGGAGGATTTATTGTATGCTGTTCCAGTTTGACTGCTAGGAGTGTAAACCTATTTGCATGGTTTTTCCTGTTCGTCTACTAGCAGCTATTCGTGTGTCTCAAGTTCGGGAGTTTCGAGTATTCCCTTGGTATGCAGTTCGGGAGTTGGTGAATTTGTGGGTTTGCAGTTCAGGAGATTGGTGCTTGCAGTAGCTGTCGGTGCAGCTGAAAAAGGGGAATATCGCCTAAACGGTTTTTAACCTCTTAACCTCTAACAGATGTTTTAGCAGACAACTCAATTGACCCACGCCTGAATCGTGAATGGGTGCAAAGTGCCCTTTGTCTATTAGGCAATGCTAACGTAGCCATTTTCACGGAATGGCGTAAAGCCATTCTATACAAAATAGATGCCACGCTAGCTGAACTAGGCTCTCGAGAGCTGGGCCCTGAGGCTAATGGCCTCATATTTGGTGACAAATTTATCAAAGACCTTAACAAACATCAACTCCCTCACTAAAGCCCAATCATCACTCCGTAGAGTATTCAATTCCCATCGTTTATATGGGAGAGCCGGACGCCATAGAGGCCGAGCCACCAGCAAGACAAGCCTTCTCTGGCTACAGGCCTTGACCTACCGAGCCTTGGAACTACGGTCAATACCAAGGACCTTATTACAGACAAGAGGTCCCATCAGAGGACGTGGGTCTGCTTCCCTACGCGGATGTATTGCTTCAGGTAAACAACCTTCCTTATTTACATGTTCATATATCAGGCCGTCTAACTATTTTTTCCCCTCAGTGGTCCCAACTAACTCAGGATCCCTGGATCCTCCAGACAGTCTCAGGTTTTCTCATAGATTATGTGTTCAACCCTGTGAAGGACCGCCTTGCACCCCGACCGGGTACCTCCATAAATTGTTGCTTCCTTGAGTACCATAAGTACCACACCAAAACACCATAAGCACTGTAGCTTGGTTGGGGTCTCGTCATCCTCCACCCACTCTGGACCCAAAACCAAGATCCAGCTTCCAGTGAATAGACCTCTCCTAGCCCAGAGAGCGTAGCAGGTACAGCTCTTAGAAGAGATAGTGATTATACTCAGGAAAGTATATTGATATAGCAATCCCAAGAGTGTGTGTAGTTTTCCAATCCCCCAAACATGAGCCAAGACTTCATGAAGGATAAAGCATTCTGTTTAATGGAGGCCACAGCTGGCCTTTTATGCAAGTCCCCATGCAAGGGTGACACCCATATGGACCTTGTTGGGGACAGGGACACAAACTTGTAAACCAATAACAACAGAGTTAAAATGCACAACACTCCCACACATAGCATACAATCCCTTCCCTCTGCCTGGGAAATAATTGGATCAGATACTGTATTAAGAACAAAATAAAATATAGTAATGGAATAAAAAAGTGGTACAGCGATGCTACAATCACCAGAGTTGTCACCCAATAAATACTAATAGTAATAAAGTGAATAGGTGAGAGCAAACCTACCACTGTACGGTCTTGAATGGTAAAATAATAACTGCTAGCAATATGCAATAAAACATATAGTACAAATCATAGCGTAATATCTTACAGAATGCAGTATTTTAAAAACACCATTTTGTCAAACTCACATGGTGCTGAGCCAATTACTAGCAGGCTCAGACTTTCAAGGCTTTTCAGTGTATGGAACCTCCAGATAATTGCTCCCTGGTTCTACCTTCTCCCAAAGATATGATTTCCAATCCAAACTTTGGTAAGTGCAAACTATTTATTGGGCTTACAGTGCAGGAGATATCACAGCATAAAACAATATAATTAAAATAGAACATTAAAAAAGCACAACGCGTTTCGACTAATAAATGAGTCTTTATCACGTGCATAAATCCGGTTTGTCCGCATCTTCCTTTATATCCAGATTCAGCTCTTTTCCCACGTGTATTTTGATCTTACTTCCGGGTTCGCAAGGTCATTTGACGTCATTTTCGTCTTCCGGCGTGATGCATGACGTTGTAAACGTTCTTAGAGGTTTTAGTGTCCATCTTTAATAATGGAAAAGGGTAAAAACATGCCCTCGAGTGCAAGATCGTAATTATTAAATGGAAAAGAGGTGGAAGATCAATGGTTAATAATCGAGAAAGGGGGCGGAGCCTGACCGCCTAGCTGTACAGACGCAGGGGACAAGAGCTCCTGAAAATCGGGCAGACTACAGGGCATAATCGGCGGCTACATAGCCCAAGGACTCACCGGGGTGCACTCCTGAATCGAACAATACCTCACTGGAGCCTGTCAGGGGAACGAAAAGCCAGGTGTGGCCAACTGACGTTGGAGCCGGAGAGAGGCAGCCGCTCTCTCTCCGACACCGGTTCCCCCCAGCGAGTTTGCAGGTCTGCCCCCACACCCCTCTGGACCAATGGGGGTTATCCTGGTCCCTGCTGATCAGGCAGATCGAGACTGCGGAAGGGCTTTCCCGGCGACGTGACCCACAGAAGCACGAAACTGCCGAGGTACACTCAAGATGGCCGCCTGGGAGAGACCAAAGAGGGAGAGCACAGGCACCCAGGCAAACTTACCCCCTAGAGGACCTCGACCGGCTCTACTTGAGCCTCTGCACAGCATTATATGCCCGGTGTAACGGATCACCTGGCACCCTGACTGGGTACCTCCGTTGAAGGATGCTCCTAGCGCTTCGTGAGGACTCCATGCACTGCAGCAGACACCACAACCACCGAAACGGAAAATCATATGAATGCTCTCAAGCATATGAATGTTGTATACAGCCGAATAGGAAAAACCATGCGAATAGGTTTACACTCCTGGCAGTCAGCATACAATCCAATTCCCCCAATAACGAGACGACACTTTGTTTGAGGGTTAAGCAGGAACTGCCTGGACTGGCACATACAGCCTCTTTTATTCCCAATCCACAAACATAGTACTGCCCACAGAGTTTTACAGAACAACCAATAACACACGTACATTACAGAAAACACTCCCAGCAATTATACACAAAATCCTCCCCTCTGCCTGTGATATAATTATGGTACACAATGGGTTAACATTATCACAAGAAGGAAAAATACAGTTTTTATATATGTACTATAACTTTAAAAATATACATCCAATCTTCATAAAAATTACATATTAATCAGCACATTTCAAATATAAACATACCCAAAAATCATTCAAATCCGTTCAGCCGTTCAGGAGATAGATATAAGTCAAGTTTGACCGACCGCAAGCACATTTTCATGCCCAAAACAGTTCCAGAGAATCAGGCTGTGCGGTCGGTATATTTCCCATGTTAAAGTCAGTTCAAACAGACGAACGACAACCATTCGAATTGTCAAACTGTCGAATGAACTGTTGAATGGCGTTTGAACTGTTGAATGCATTGAAGTCTGGAGTGTCACGACAGTGACCCCTTCACGTAGAGTGTAACCCAAAAGGAGACGTATACCGGTCCTTAGAATGGCCGGGCTTAACATCCGAGAATAGTCAAAAGGATAGCCGAAGGTCAATGGAGTACAGAAGACGGAATAAACGAGAATTACCAAGCCAAAATTCGGGAAACCAGAGAGGAGAGTAGTCAGAGAGGAAGCCAAGGGTCAAAAATACCAGAAAGATAAACAGGAGTATAAGTAGCACTAGGGGAACCAAATACAGAACCACACTAGGGCGCTTGGGAAAGGGCAGGGGCGCCCTTATATAGGGAGTGGTGTTCAGCTTTAAGACCACACCCCCAAAAAGTCCGGGAGCGTGGCCGCGTTTGAATTTTCGCGGCAAAACCCCGATGACGTCAGCGCACATGCGCCGGGTCATAAGAGGGGCTTTGCCGCGAGCGGCCAGCGTCAGACAGGCTGCTCCGCCTCCCGGAAGCAGCCGGGGAGATCGCCGCGCGGCGTGGTTCCGGAGGAGACAGGTAAGTTATCATTACAGTACCCCCCCTTGGGAGGACTCAGCTTGCGAGTACGACGCCTAGTAAAGGAACGAACCAGGCGAGGGGCGTGTACATCTGAGGCATCCACCCACGACCTTTCCTCGGGGCCGTACCCTTTCCAATCCAATAGATACTGGAGACGACCTTTTGAAATACGAGAGTCCAAAATAGATTTCACTTCGTATTCATTTTGACTATCTGCGAGTGAGGAAGGAGGTCTTGAGGACCTTCGAGTATAACGGTTACAAATTAAAGGTTTAAGGAGAGAAACATGAAAGGAATTGGGTATCCTCATACTAGCTGGCAAATCCAGGCGGTAACAGACAGGATTAATAAGTTTGAGAATTTTGAAAGGACCAATAAAACGGGGAGCGAATTTCATAGAGGGGACTTTTAATCTAATATTGCGTGTACTCAACCATACTCTATCCCCCACTATATAATTCGGAGCGAATTTTCGCCGATTGTCCGCTTTACATTTTTGAGTGTCCCTCTTTTGAGATAAGATACGTTTGACAAGTTTCTTTCATAATCTTAATAGCGTAGTCAACACTTGGCACTGCAGTGGGTGAAAAGGAACTCGGAAGAGTAACAGGGTCAAAGCCATAATTTATATAAAAGGGACTATGTTGAGTAGATTCATGAACTCCGTTATTATGGGCAAACTCAGCCCACGGAAGTAATTCTACCTAATCATCTTGGTGATCGGTGGTGAAACAGCGAATGTACTGTTCGAGTGACTGATTCATCCTTTCTGTAACCCCATTGGATTGGGGATGATATGAAGATGATATGATTAAGCCTGATACCCAATTGATTACAGAATGCTCTACAAAACCTGGAAATAAATTGTGGACCTCTGTCCGAAACTATATCCACGGGTATACCGTGTAAATGAACTACCTCCCTTATGAACACGGTGGCCAGTTCGGAGGATGAAGGCAGTTTAATTAAAGGGACAAGATGGGTCATTTTGGAAAATCTGTCGATGATAGTTAGAATTACCCAGTGGTTTTTGGAAGGAGGTAGATCCACTATGAAATCCATGGCTATACTAGACCAGGGTTTTAATAAGCAACAGTTCTCTATCTCTTATGTCATATCTTCGTTCCGTTTCATTCAATTTTTTAGAGAAATAACCACAGGGATGTAGGGATTGATCATTCGAAGATCTCTGGGATAATACAGCCCCTACCCCTGTCTCGGAGGCATCTACTTCCAATATAAAGGGACGCCAAGGATTAGGATGACTTAATACCGGGGCTGGAGAAAAAGCTATCTTAAGTTTCTCAAAGGCATCTTTAGCTTCGGGACTCCATACCGTATGGTTCCTATTCTTTTTTGTCATGGCGGTAATAGGAGCGGTAATAGAGGAAAACCCTTTGATAAACTTTCTATAATAATTGGCAAATCCTAGGAAACGTTGGATGGCTTTTAGCCCAACGGGTAGGGGCCAGTTTAAGATTGCTTCTAGTTTTTTAGGTCCCTTTTGAAAGCCCGAACCTGAAATTATATACCCTAGGAAGTTAACCTTTTCTACATCGAACAAACCTTTTTCTAGTTTGTAATAGTCAGTTTTTCAATAATCTAGATAGGACCAACCTAACGTGTTTATGATGTTCATTAATACTCTTAGAGTAGATGAGTATGTCATCCAAATAAACAACAACAAACATTTGTAAATAATCCCTTAAAACATAGTTTATAAAATTTTGAAAGACTGCAGGAGCGTTGCATAAGCCGAAGGGCATAACCCTGTATTGATAATGGCCATAGCGAGTATTGAAAGCAGTCTTCCACTCATGTCCCTTTTTAATTCTAACCAAATTATATGCTCCCCGTAAGTCTAACTTGGTGAATATGGTAGCTCCCTTCAACCTGTCGAAAAGTTCAGTTATAAGCGGGATGGGATAAGCGTTTCGTATGGTTATTTTGTTTAACCCCTGATAGTCAATACAAGGCCTCAAATCTCCCTCCTTTTTAGAAACAAAGAAAAAACCAGCTCCAGCCAGGGAGGAAGATTTGGTGATAAAACCCTTTTTCAAATTCTCTGTAATGTACTCCTCAAGTACCTTGTTTTCGGCCACAGAGAGGGGATACACGGTACCCCTAGGAGGCATGGTGCCGGGTAATAAGTCAATAGCGCAGTCGTATGAACGGTGAGGCGGTAACTTTTCCGCTTCCCTTGGTTCAAAGACCGCTTTGAGATCCCAATATTGCTTGGGTATCTGGGTGGTTAAAGGCTTCATGGTAGGAACATTAAGTAGACCGATTGGTTTGACTTGAGTGATACACTCTTTAAAACAAAAGTCACCCCATTTTATTATCTCCTTTCTTTCCCAGTCTATTAAAGGATTATGCCTGGCGAGCCAAGGAAACCCAAGTATCACGGGAAAGGTGGGGGAAGTTATTTGCTGTAGAGTTATGGTTTCAATACAATTTAAAGGGGCAGCAAGTCTTTTAAAATCCAATCTGCTAAAATAGTCTTTAACAGGCAATATCTTCCAAGGGCCATAGTCTTAAAGGGGCATTGTTCCCAAAAGTCACAGTATGTCTCCAGCGGCACAATAAAATACAATATGCCCAAATACTGTATTAAAAGGGCCAAATCTCCCAGAGGCCATAGTCAGCGGGCAGGAGGCGGGCAAACAGGCTTCTCCAATGCCCAGTGGCGAGGTTGGTTTCGCCATATCGGCTCTCTACCAGATTTCATGCTTGAATCAGATGCCAGCCTCTCAGGATGGGGCACCACTTGCTCTCCACTGGAGGGCTTTGGACACCATCATAACAGCCCGTACACATAAGCTGCCTCGAGTTGATTGCCGGCTCCTTTGCAGTCCACAGCTTCCCAAAAGACGCATACAACTGCTCTCTCACTCTGAGGATGGACAATATCTCCGCTGTTCGTTAAGTCAATCGTTCAGGAGGTTCTCGCTCCAAACTCCTCTCGGACTTGACGAAGGAACTCTACAAATTTTTCCTGGCCGGGAACATCTCCCTTCAAGCAGAGTATTTACCAGGCCCAGACAACCTGATGGCGGACTGGTTCTCTCGTCACTGGAGAGACGACAGCGATTGGCAATTGGACACATACATCATCCATCTCCTTCAACTATATCATGGTCCTCTACATCGGGACCTCTTCGCATTCCGCTTGAATCGCCAAGACCCATCCTGCCAAGCAGTCCATGTGTTCCTACAACCGTGGCTGAGCTCAGGGGCCTTCTCACCTTTTTCACCATCCTTTAACTTCTTCAGAAACCCAGAACTCTCAGTGTAAAAATACTTTTGATTGCTCCTTTATGGAGGGCGCAGCCTTGGTATCCTAGTCTGATGGAACTGCCTGTAGACTTTCCTCTCCTCCTTCCTCGGACTTACGATCTTCTCAGAGTTTCACCCTCTCCTTCTTCAGGGGCACCTCAACTCGTGACCTGGACCATTTCAGGGGATCCTGGAATGTCTAGAGGATTACTATGGGATTCCTGGGCCCCCGGAACTTGAAGTTCTTACCTCTCCGCTTGGCATCTATGGACTAGCTGGTGTGTGGAAAGGGATATTGATCCCTTTTCATTATCTATTGTTGACATCATGAATTTCCTATGCTCACTCTTTGACCAGGGTAAGTCCTACTGGACCATAAACCTTTTTCGTTCTGCTATCTTCGCAGCTCATGCTCCTGTCGAGAATTCCTCCGTGGGCAGACACCCCTCGGTCTGTAGACTTATACGTGGTATTAGATTGGCCAGACTTCCAGCTCCTTGATTTTCCAATTCTGGGATGTTTCTCAAGTTTTCTCCTTTCTGGAAGCTTGGCCTTCCAACTTGGACTTCACGTTAAGGCAGCTCTCTGCTAAACTAGCCCTACTTCTCTGCTTAGTTTCCTTCTGCTTTTGACTTCCATGCTCTTGTATTCACACCCAAAGGTGTTCATTTTTCCATTTCCCGTCAGACCAAGACATTCTCCTCTTCTGTTTTTTACCCGTATTTCCCTGACAGACCAGCGCATTGTGAGGCACGTTGTGTACGTCAATATGTCACTCTTACTACTCCACTTAATCTCCTTCAGGACCTCTGTTGATCTCCTACGTTCGTCCCCACCGACCAGTGTCACGTCCTACGATTGCTCGTTGGATCAAACGGCTCCTCGGTCTTGCTGGTGTTAACATCTCCTTCGGAGCACACTCTGTTCACTTTCTAGCAGGATGCGCCCTCTAGGATATTCTGTCCTCTGCTGGTTGGTCTAGGGAATCTACCTTTCATACTTTACTTTCGTCCGACTTCTCATGCCCATTTTCCTCTTATATCTAGGCGTTAAAATAGCAAATATGAAGCCTCCTGTCTTGCCATAATATTAGGGATTATTCTAGTGTTAATGACAGAATAATCTAAATTTTATTAAAGACAGGGGGCGAATATTTTTCCCTCCCTTCTTACTAACTATTGACCCTGCTTCTTTTCTTCTGTTGCAAGTACTCTCAGTTATACTGTTCATTTTCTGATGTTAAATGGTGCTTATCCACTGTCCATGTATATTGCCAACGTCTGTAATTGCAAATAGTCTTAGACACAATACTTTCACAATATTTCTTCTTCCTTCTAGGGTGAAAATTCTGTATAATTCCTATGGATATCGGTCGAATCCACCTGAACTTGTTTTCCGGTTTACATGGTTGAGGACACTGTTTATGATTACTCCGATTGGTGCGGCTGCATCATAAGAAAGAAGAAGTGGGAGTATTACCTTACTAATACCTTCTATGTGATTGGTTGATTTTTATTTTACCATTTTAACCATTTACTTCCTGCTGGGAGGTTTGAGTAAAGAAAGTAAAGCAAATATTCGCCTCCTGTCTATTTGATTAAGTAATAGCATTTCGCACCATTAATGTGTATAGTTCAGCGAACAATAACCCAATTGAATCCTTTCCAGTGGGCAAAAACTCCTTAGTTTGCCCTAGATATAATTCTACATGGGATGTTTTACGTATCAGAGCACTCTTAGAACGCTCTGAGTCAAATTGCAAGGTATGGGGAATGCTTTAAAAGTCTTTCCTTCCCCTGCGGAGCTCAGACTACACGGTGCCCTCCCTGGGTGAAGATGGATTATTTCTTTAGTGTCTGGATATTTTTTTTGTGTGGTTTTGTTTTTTGTTTTTTTTTGCACTCAAGTTTTTATTTAATTTGATCAGTTCGACGGGAATTATGGATTTTTATTTGGCTTTTTGGGGGGCTGAAAAAAAAAGGTTTTAGAAAAAAGAAGACATCTATGTAGGTATTAGTTTATTGCTTCCCCCTTAATTTAATTGCGGGGAGGGAGGGGTGACAAGGGGCTTGAAAACCCCTAGTCACCAGGCCTCCACCGCCCATGGGTGGTGGCTGGGGGACAACAACCAGTCCCCCCCTATTGTAACTTAGTGTCCCCACCCGCCATTAATGGGTGGGAGGACAGGACAATAGGCCCCTCCATTGTAACTTAAGATCCCCACCCGCCGCTCATGGATGAAGGCCCGGGGGTTGGGACGACACTCCCTCCACTGTCAGTTAGGGCCCCAACCCCCCGCATATGAGGGGGGGGTAGGGAGGGGCTCGCAGGGCTGGCGCTTCCAAAAGGTGGCACTTCCTGTACCCGGCCTGCCTGACAGGAAGTGCTCGCAGAAAAAGCACTTCCTGTCAGTCCGACCGGGTAGGGTAAACAAAAGCTCCTGTACCACTGTACGCTCTGCTTGGTCATGCTACAAAAGAGGCACATCACCGAAGAGAAGGGGGATGGGTACACAAAGGGACAGGGAGGGTAAAGGACCACAAAGGGACAGGGTGGGGAGAGGAACACAAGGGGGGAGGGGACACTAAAGGAAGGGAGGGGAGAGGAAAGCTAAGGGAGAGAGAAAAGGAGAAGGAGGGGAGAGGAAAGCTAAGGGAGGGACACAAAGAGCTAGTAGGACAGACTGAAAGTAATGGAGTAGGAATAGGAGGGGGTTAGAGGATGGAAGAGAGGAAGGGCTAGTAGGACAGACTGAAAGTATCACAGTAGGTATAGGAGGGGTTTAGATGATGGAGAGGAAGGACTAGTAGGATAGACTGAAAGTAACTAAAACGTTTATAGGAGGGGTTAGATGATGGAGGAGAGGAAGATCTAGTAGGACAGACTGAAAGTAACTAAAACGTTATAGGAGGGGGTTAGATGATGGAGGAGAGGAAGATCTAGTAGGACAGACTGAAAGTAATGCAGTAGTTATAGGAGGGGGTTAGATGATGGAGAGAAAGGACTAGTAGGACAGACTGAAAGTAATGCTGTAGTTATAGGAGGGGGTTAGATGATGGAGGAGAGGAAGGGCTAGTAGGACAGACTGAAAGTAATGCAGTAGTTATAGGAGGGGGTTAGATGATGGAGGAGAGGAAGATCTAGTAGGACAGACTAAAAGTAATGCTGTAGTTATAGGAGGGGTTTAGATGATGGAGAGGAAGGGCTAGTAGGACAGACTGAAAGTAATGCTGTAGTTATAGGATGGGGTTAGATGATGGAGGAGAGGAAGGGCTAGTAGGACAGACTGAAAGTAATGCTGTAGTTATAGGAGAGGGTTAGATGATGGAGGAGAGGAAGATCTAGTAGGACAGACTAAAAGTAATGCTGTAGTTATAGGAGGGGTTTAGATGATGGAGAGGAAGGGCTAGTAGGACAGACTGAAAGTAATGCTGTAGTTATAGGATGGGGTTAGATGATGGAGGAGAGGAAGGGCTAGTAGGACAGACTGAAAGTAATGCTGTAGTTATAGGAGGGGGTTAGATGATGGAGAGGAAGGGCTAGTAGGACATACTGAAAGTAACACTGTAGTTATAGGAGGGGGTTAGATGATGGAGAGGAAGGGCTAGTAGGACAGACTGAAAGTAACTAAATAGTTATAGGAGGGGGTTGGATGATGGAGGAGAGGAACAGCTAGTAGGACAGACTAAAAGTAACTAAATAGTTATAGGAGGGGGTTAGATGATGGAGAGGAACAGCTAGTAGGACAGACTAAAAGTAACTAAATAGTTATAGGAGGGGGTTAGATGATGGAGGAGAGGAAGATCTAGTAGGACAGACTGAAAGTAATGCACTAGTTATAGGAGGGGGTTAGATGATGGAGGAGAGGAAGGGCTAGTAGGACAGACTGAAAGTATCACAGTAAGCATAGGAGGGGGTTAGATGATGGAGAGGAAGGGCTAGTAGGACAGACTGAAAGTAATCCAGTAGTTACTGTAATCTCTACCTGTCCTTTGTAAGCAGTGCCCCTCCAAATACAGATCCAGCTATGGATAGCACCACCGAGATGATCCCGCTGAATACCCCAAGCTCAGCTGCTGAGACCCCTTGGTCCAGGAGTAAGAGGGGAACCATACTGAGTGACCCCTGCTCACCTGCAGAAAGAAAAAGAGACTGGTAACATATTGAGGTTGTCACTCTATAGAAAGAAAAACAAGGTAATGATACATGTATACCATATAATGCACATATCCAGGAAGCCTCGCAAATAAAGTCCTATAAAATAGGGTTTGAAATCCTATAGCAAGGGACGCGAACCCTACTAAGAGGAAACCTGTCATCGTACTCACTAACCTTTAATGAGAGCTTTTTTTTTTATTATAAGAAATGCTAAATAATCACATTCAGGATGCTATATATTCCCCCTCCCCCCGATGATCACCCCAGGACCCATTCACACCATGCTTTTGCTAAGGACTCTGCATAGATTCTCCACGGGTGATCACCCCAGGATCCATCCACATTGTGGCTTTGTTAAGGTCTCTCCATAGATTGTCCCCCAGTGATCACCCTAGGAACCATTCACTGCGTGGTTTGTCTCCATAGATAGAGTTGAGCGGACACCTGGATGTTCGGGTTCGCTGAGTTCGGCCAAACTTCGTCAAAAAGTTCGAGCTCGGACTCGGGCTCGAACTTGACCCCGAACCCCATTGAAGTCAATGGGGACCCGAACCTTTGGGCACTAAAATGCCTTTAAAAATTCCTGGAAAGGGCTAGAGGGCTGCAAAAGGAAGTAAAATGGGGGTAAGAGTAGGACAAGTGCCCTGCAAACAAATGTGGATAGGGAAATCACTTAAAATAACATGAAATACATAAAAATTAAAAATACAGCTGAGCCATAAAATAGCACTAGATGGAATCTTTGATTTTAGCTTTTGAAGAACATAAATCAAAATCTAAAGCATGGCTGTCATGAGGATTACCAGAATTATCCATTTGAGAGAGGGGGTTGGAGTGCAGGGTATTCTCTTTCATTGTTCAAATTGAGCTCAACTACTGATGCATGGAGAAAAGGCCTTCACAAACCTCTGCTATTGTGTACATAGTTTATACTAAGTGACCCATAGGTTGAGGAGGCGGTGACCGTGGCGGTGTAGGTGGAAGCGGCGGTGGAGGCGGAGGAGGTAGCCAACACTGTTTTTTATTTGTTTTGCTATTTTGTTTTTATTGGGGTAGCCCCCAAAATATTGGGACATATAAAAAAATTAAACATTTGCAGCACATTTCTTGCAGTCCAATAACGCCATCAGGTTTTTAAAACTGTCCGTCTCCACCAGACGTAATGACAGCATTTCAAAGGCCAGAAATTTTGAAAATGCTGGCATTCAGGGCCAGGGATCGCGGGTGGGTAGGGGGGAACTTCCTCTTTCTCTCCAGTGTTTGGGAGATGGACAGCTGAACACTTCCATGGGACAGTGTGGAGATGCTTGGGGACGGTGGCGGACATCGTGGCGTTGCTGCCACATCCTCTGTTTGCAGGGTGGCAGGTGCCTCCTCCTGTCACTGATGGCTGAGGAGTGAAGGAGGAGGAGGGAGGAGCATGTTTCTGTACCATGCTCCCTCGCGGCTCCCACAATCCCCAGCACAGGAACCGCGAGGGAGCATGGTACAGAAACATGCTCCTCCCTCCTCCTCCTTCACTCCTCAGAGGTGGAGGAAGAGGCCGAGACAGCAGCAGAAGAGGAAGCAGGAGGAGCCTGACACCTTTCTTGGTTTTTGAGGTGCTTATTCCACTGCAGCTCGTGCTTTGCATGTAGATGCCTGGTCATGCAGGTTGTGCTCAGGTTTAGAACGTTTATGCCTCGCTTCAGGCTCTGATTGCACAGCGTGCAAACCACTCGTGTCTTGTCGTCAGCACATTGTCTGAAGAACTTCTACGCCAGGGTACTCCTTGGAGCTGGCTTTGGTGTGCTCGGTCCCTGGGTGTGGTGGGCAGCAGCAGGTGTACTATCTAGGAGACTGCCGCTCCGTTTTTACACCCTGCTCTAGGTGTAGGAGGTGGATGTGGAGTAGGAGGTTGAGGAGGTGGTGACCATGGCTGTGAAGGCAGAGGAGGTAGCCAACACTATTTTTTGTTTTTAAAACTGTCCGTCTCCACCAGCCGGAATGACAGCATTTCACATGCCAGGAATTTTGAAATGCTGGCATTCAGGGCCAGGGATCGCAGGTGGGTAAGGGGGTACTTCCTCTTTCTCTCCAGTGTTTGGGAGATGGACAGCTGAACGCTTCCATGGGAGAGTGTGGAGATGCTGGACAATTGTGTACCTGGCCTATGCTGGTGCAGGAACCCACCCTCCGAGCCACTTGTGAATGACTGGCCTGATAACCGTGGAAATGACCCCTCTTCCTCCTCCTCCTGTGCCACATCCTCTTCCATCATCGCCCGAAGCGTTTTTTCAAGGAGACATAGAAGCGGGATAGTAAGGCTGAGAACGGCGTCAATGGAACTGGCGATGTCGGTGGAGTACTCGAAACAGCGCAACATGGCACACAAGTCTCGCATGGAGGACCACTCATTGGTGGTGAAGTGGTGCTGTTCCGCAGAGCGACTGACCTGTGCGTGCTGCAGCTGAAACTATCGCCTGCTGCTGCTTGCACAGTCTCTCCAGCATGTGCAAGGTGGAGTTCCACCTTGTGGGCACATCGCATATGAGGCGGTGAGTGGGAAGGCTGAAGTTATATTGCAGCACAGACAGGCGAGCAGCAGCAGGGTGAGAACGCAGAAAGACGGCCCGCGCTTTCTGCAGCAGCTCTGATATATCTGGGTAGTTTTTCAGGAATTTCTGCACCACCAAATTCAGCACATGTGCCAGGCAAGGGATATGCGTCAAACCGGCTAGGCCCAGAGCTGCTACGAGATTTCGCCCATTATCGCACACCACCAGGCCAGGCTTGAGGCTCAGTGGCAACAACCACTTATTGGTCTGTTGTTCCATGCCTGTCCACAGCTCCTGCGCGGTGTGAGGTTTTTATCCCAAACATATGAGTTTTAAAACAGCCTGCTGTCGTTTCCCCCTGGCCGTGCTGAAATTGGTGGTAAAGGTATTACGCTGACCAGATGAGGAGGTGGTAGAGGAGGAGGCAACAGGATGCAAAGCTGTGTACCCAAATAAAGATTGTCAAACATTGTATCCTGGAACTGTGTCCCATCCGGTTACTGGGAAAATGGGTCTGACCTAATCAAAGGGGATAACCATCGGTTACCCAGGTGCCGCTTCAATTGCTGGCAAGCGGCGGGATCCCATGTCCCTGCCAACAGACTCATGGACTACAGTGCTCTAAAGCGACCTACACTGCGGGACTTGTGTGGAGCCAGAGGAATAATGCCTGGTGGGCGTAACAAGGCCGAATTGACTGCTGCGCTCATGGAGGACGACCAGGCACACAGTGAGGCAACAAACCCCAGCCAAGTGCCGGAGATGAGGAGGAAGTGCGCAAGGAGGTGGAACAGCGCCTGGCATATTACCGAGTGCCACCCTCAGAAGAGATTTTTTTGGGGCCCCAAATGTACTATTTAGCACCAAAGAAATGTGAATTAGTCAAACTGCAATGTCACAGCAGTATTTGGCGGTTCTATTTGACTCTCAGATATGAAGTGCAGGCCCCAAATGTACTATTTAGCACCTAAAAAAATGTGAACTTTTAATACTGCGCTGTAACCACAGTATATGATGGTTCTATTCGACTCGCAGATATGAAGTGCAGGCCGCCAAATGTACTATTTAGCAGCTAAAAGATTTTAATTTTTAAAACTGCGCTGTAACCACAGTATTTGACAGTTCTATTTGACTCTCCGATATGAAGTGCACCTCAGGCCGCAAATTTACTATTTAGCACAAAAAACAGATTTTTTAAACCAACAATGTAACAGTAGTATTTAAGGCTTTTATTGAACCGCAGGCCGCAAACGTTCTATTTAGAGCATTCAGAACAGGATTAAAGTAATGTGCCTGGCACACATGCAGTTGCAAGTGCACTGCACTCTCTGTGGCATTGGGCTCAGGGCAGGGTACAAAAATGTAGTATAGCACAGATGCAGCATCCTCTCCCTACACTAATAAGAGCTCATGTGACATGCGGCGCTACGTGACTCCAGGTTATATATAGAGGATGGGTCACATGCTGCACTGGCCAATTGCAGCCATGCCATTAGTAGGCATGGCTGTGATGGCTTCGAAGGGCACACGAGTCAAACACTTGTTGATTGGCTGCCCAGCAGCCTTTCAAAACGCGCCATTAAATCGCTGAACACCGAACTCCAACCCGAACATACACTGAAATGTCTGTGTTCGGGTCCAGGGTCCAAAAACCGTAATGTTCGGTACGAACACGAACTTTGCAGTTCGGGTTGGCTCAACTCTATCCATAGAGTCTCCCCTGGTGATCACTCCAGGACCCATTCACTGCCTGGCTTTGTTAAGTTCTCTCCATAGTTCTCTCCTAGGATCCATTCACTGCGTGGTTTGTCTCCATAGATTCTCCCCTGGTGATCACTCCAGGATCCATTCACAGCGCAGCTTTGTTAAGGTCTCTCCATAGATTATCCCTCAGTGATCACCATAGGATCAATTCACATGGCTTTGTTAGTTTGCAGAGCATGGAGACGCTGAACTTAAGTGACCTCTAGATGTTGTCTGAGTGAATGTCACTAGAGGTGTTAGGCAGCAATGTAAACACTGCCCTTTGTCATACTACAGACACCAGAACAACTACATTAAAGGGACACTCAATGAAGTGGTCTGGGTGCCAGGTCCCCAGGTTTTAACCCTTCAGATGTAAATATAGCAGTTTCAGAGAAACTGATATGTTTACATTGCAGGGTTAATCCAGCCTCTAGTGGCTATCTTCCGGACAGCCGGAAAAGGCGCTTCTGCGACGCTGGATGCAAAATTTGCATCCAGCCAGTAGAACATCCATAGGAAAGCATTGATAAATGCTTTCCTATGGACTGTTTGAATGTGCGCGCAGCTCCTGCCGAGCATTCGCATTCCGCTCCACTCGGAAGCTGACGTCGGCAGGGGAGGAGAGGTCACCAGTGCCAAGGGAGCCCGGCGCTGGATAAAGGTAAGTGGCTGAAGGGGTTTTTAACCCCTTCAGCACCAAGGGAGGGGAGCCCTGAAGGTGGGTGGGGCCTAAGGGTTATATAGTGTAACGGACCATTTTGCCCAAAAGAGGTTAAAAACCGTTTAGGCGATATTCCCCCTTTTCAGCTGCACCGACAGCTACTGCAAGCGCCAATCTCCTGAACTGCAAACCCACGAATTCACCAACTCCCAAACTGGAGACACATGAATAGCTGCTAGCAGACGAACAGGAAAAGCTCCCAAACGGCTTACACTCCTGGCAATCAGTCTCTAACAGCATACAGTAAATCTTCCCCCAATAATGAGACGACACTTCACTTTGAGGGTTAAGCAGGAACGGATTTACTGGGGCTAACTGCCCGGCTTTTATGCAGGTCTCCCACCTGGTGGACACTCCCCTAGGGGACCAAATGGGAGACTGGGACACAAAGGGTAAAAGGACCAACCACAGACTTACACATTTCAACCATTCCACAATGCATCACAATCCCTCCTCTCTGCTCTGGAGATAATTGAGAAGTAATTCAATTATCTCCAAAGACAGAGGCAAAACTCCATTAACCACATGGCAGAAAACAAACAGTAAAAGACATAAAATTACATACAGTTACATTCAGTACATAAAACATATACGTTCTACATATCCCCAGATAGCTCAGGTCTGAGCGCACATTATTAAGCGAATGGCGCTCAGACCACACGAATACAGTTTAATCGCCATGGAGCCAAAGTCTTTACACAGTCCGTTTCATGCGAATGGGCTCCATGGGATTCCTATCTGGGGTACAACACACTCAAACAAAACTACCCAACACCCGGCAGAAAAGCACGAATAAGTCTTTTCTGCAGGGAAAAAAGATGTCTTTTAACATGGGGCCATAGTCCAAAGGCAGCAGGCGAGCAACCAGGCTTCTCCAGTGTACAGTGTCGAGGTTGGTTTCGCCACATATAGTGTCAGGAAAATGAGTTTGTTTTCCTGACACTATAGTGATCCTTTAAGCTGCAGTGTTTCTGGTGACTATAGTGTCCCTTTAAGAATTGTATTTTTCACTTTTAAAAACCTGGCTCCTAAGTTATTTTTTGCTGGCTACTAGATTCCAAGAAAATTTGTCAAACCCTGTAATAATATATTTACTTGTGGCTCCATGCTCCATGGAACTTACCTAGTTTTTACATTAAAGGGGCTCTGTAAGTACCATAACCCTTACAGCTCAATGCTGAGTCCATGGAGCAAAGAGACTTCCGGCTACATTTCCCCAGACTGTGCCAAGGTTTTTTTGAGCAGAGCTCTCCTAGAGCCCAGAGCTCACCTGTCCTTCAGCTAATGTGAATGTGAAAACAACCAAAAATGACAAGTATGAATGGCGCTAAAAATATATATTGTTAAACAGCAGCACCTTAACAGTGTATTTATCTCCACAGAACACTAAATCAAATATCAAACCAAAACAAAGTGCTTTGTGCCTTTAAAATCGTGCTTTTTAAATATACATGCTTTTAAGAAATCACAAAGTGTTAAAAACAGCAAACAGTGCTTTTTAATTATTGTGCAAATAATTCAAATTATGCTTCAATTAAAGTGCAATTTCAAATTTCAGTGTATGTGCAAACTAGTTAACGTGATTTTATGTGCAAATATACTTAAAATGTAAAAATGTATAAAATATTATACTTGCAAATATGTTGCCCTCAACATGGAAGAAAAAAATATAAAAAACATAGTGTAATATTGTTTAAACACCAATAATTTTATAGAACCAGATATGTATATTGCACTCACAATCAAGGAGGAGGTTAAGAACTGCTCAGGCTATATGCGCTTTGAATGTAAATCCAGCCTTATATGCAGGAAAACGATGGACAGCCAAAATCCAACTGAACAAACTAATTCTTTAAAATAAGTAACACATGTCTCAAACGTATTCCGTCTCACTAGTCTCTCAAATAAACCTGCTAAAAAGTCTTCTGCAATACCAGTAGCCGGGACTCTGGATTCCCGGGCTGAAGCCTTCGTACCAGTGGGCAGAGTTCGAGGACGTCTTTCGTGTGGTGTAGTAGCACACTAACTTAATTACGCAAGGCGCTCTGGAAACTTTCTGGGATCATGTAGTGTGCAGGACTGAGATACGCCCACAGGGTGGCTTTAAATATTGATGGACAGAGACTTAAGGGCACACACGAACTCAAACTCGGCCCACCGGTACGAACGCTACAGTCCGGGAATCCAGAGTCCCGGCTACAGGTATTGCTGAAGACTTTTTAGCAGGTATATCCGAGAGACTACCGGAATACGTTTGAGATGTGTGTTACTTATTTTAAGGAATAAAGTTTGTTCAATTGGATTTTGGCTGTCCATCATTTTCCTGCATATAAGTTCGTAACCTGCTCCTTATTTGTGAGTGCAACATACATATCTGGTTCTATAAAATTATTAATTGAATGTGAACTTCTGCTTGATGGCATGATCAGCTGAGAGTGCTGGGCTAACAGGCTTCTCTGCTCAGTGAGTGCTTGTGTGATGGCAACCAGAAAAGTAGATTCTGAAGACCACTTCAATGAGCTGTCATTAGTTACAGTATCTCTTTAACACAGCAATGCCATTAAATACAGTATTTAGATATTCATACATGGATTTACGACCCCAGCACTCACCCAGTTTATACATTAACACATAGCCACAAGTCCACATGGTCCCTGGGACCCACAGCACCTTTCTGATCACTTCTCTCAGGCCCACTTTACTGTATGGATCCTTGAGTTCCTCTCGTTTTGCTGACTCTTCTGACTGAAGGACTCGGGCACCAACACAAAGCACAGCCAGAAAGTAAGCAGCTGCTAGAAGCAGGAAGATCGGTCTCCAGCCCAGAGCTTCAAGCAGGGTTAAGGACCCACCTCCGGCCAGCACGGAGCCCAGTTTATAAGCCACCACTTGAAGTGAATTACCTACTCCCACCTGCTCTCTTGTCAGGACTGCCACAGACACAGCATCTAGTGCGACATCTTGGAGGGAGGAGAACACGTGCATAAGCAAAAGAAGCCAAGCCAGGGGGGTAAAGGTAGCTCCAGAGGGCAGTAAAGAACATAAAAGGCAACAGATACACAGACCTCCTGTACTGAGCCGGAGCCACACCCTACGGCTCAAATGTCCATCTACTAATGGCGACCATAATACTTTTAGCAACCATGGAAGATACAGGACTCGTGTGAGACCTATCTGAGAAAGCGAGAGTCCTTGGGTCCGCAGGAGAACTGGAAGGAGACCAGACTGAATACCATAAGGGAAGCCTTGTACAAGGTAAAGAATCCCTAAAGTGATATATGTGCTTGTCATGGTGAGCAATTACAATGAGATGAAAAGATTCAGGACAGAAACTCAAATGTGTTAGAACATGTGGAATAACACAAAAAGGGATGCTTATCCAGGGATCAAAATGAAGAGACACAGAGTCCAGGAAAGGATACACTAAGATAAGACACGCTCAGAGTCGCCATGGTGTGGGCACAGAGTCCAGGATAGGTCACATTAGCCCTTTACAGTGGAAAGTCAGGATTCCAGGAATTTCCATGTAGAGGAGAGCAAGGATTCTCTTTAGTGATATCATGTGGGATAACCCAAATCTGGAAAAGAGATTTTTTTAAAGGTTTAATATTCAGACTAATTTTGCATTCATTATAAATAGCACAACATACATAGAGAATTTATTACAATCCTCCCACCAGGGCAGTGCAGGACAAGAAGATCCGAAAAAGGAGATTGGGTCTTCCTGAAGACTGTAGTGGGGATGGGGGCGGCATCCACCTAATACCAAGTTAGAAGTCAAGTCGTTGTAAAATGTCTTGGCTACTTATTCGGTGCAAGGTGGACGCCAGGGTACTTCTGGCACCATAGCTATTACAGTTTTGTGCTGTAGTGTTCCTTTATTTAGACATGAGACAAAATATATGTTTAATTTCCTTTGAGCCTGATTGACAAGTGGTGACAATATAAACGATAGTGTTATTTGCTTTTAGACATAACTAGTAATATTTTATTATTATTATTACAGCTGTAACTGAGCAGGGACTGTAATCACTGTCTGCACTGTAGCACTGTTATTATATTATATTATTATTATTATTATTATCCCCAGCTATCACTGAGCAGGGACTGTAATCACTGTCTGCGCTGTAGCACTGTTAATAATAATAATAATAATAATAATAATAGTGCTACAGTGCAGACAGTGATTACAGTCCCTGCTCAGTCATAGCTGGGGATAATAATAATAATAATAATAATAATAATAATGCAGACAGTGATTATACTCCCTTCTCAGTGATAGCTGGGGATAATATTATTAATATTATTATTATTATTAATAATATTATCCCCAGCTATCACTGAGAAGGGAGTATAATCACTGTCTGCATTATTATTATTATTATTATTATTATTATTATTAACAGTGCTACAGCGCAGACAGTGATTACAGTCCCTGCTCAGTGATAGCTGGGGATAATAATAATAATAATTATTATTATCCCCAGCTATCACTGAGCAGGGACTGTAATCACCGACTGCACTGTAGCACTGTTATTATTATTATTATTAACAGTGCTACAGTGCAGTCGGTGATTACAGTCCCTGCTCAGTGATAGCTGGGGATTATAATAATAATAATAATAATAATATCCCCAGCTGTCACTGAGCAGGGACTGTAATCACTGTCTGCACTGTAATTATTATCATCCCCAGCTATCACTAAGCAGGGACTGTAATCACTGTCTGCACTTTGGCACTGTTATTATTATTATCCCTAGCTGTAACTGAGCAGGGACTGTAATCACTGTCTGCACTGTAGCACTGTTAATAATAATAATAATAATAATAATGCAGACAGTGATTATACTCCCTTCTCAGTGATAGCTGGGGATAATATTAATAATAATAATAATATCCCCAGCTATCACTGAGAAGGGAGTATAATCACTGTCTGCATTATTATTATTATTATTATCATCCCCAGCTGTCACTGAGCAGGGACTGTAATCACTGTAATTAATTATTATTATCATCATCCCCAGCTATCACTAAGCAGGGACTGTAATCACTGTCTGCACTTTAGCACTGTTATTATTATCCCTAGCTGTAACTGAGCAGGGACTGTAATCACTGTCTGCACTGTAGCACTGTTATTATTATTATTATTATTATTATTATTATTATTAACAGTGCTACAGTGCAGACAGTGATTAAAGTCCCTGCTCAGTGATAGCTGGGGATAATAATAATAATAAATAATAATAATAATAACAGTGCAGACAGTGATTATAGTCCCTGCTCAGTTACAGCTGGGGATAATAATAATAATAATAATAATAATAATAACAGTGCAGACAGTGATTATACTCCCTTCTCAGTGACAGCTGGTGATAATAATAACAGTGCTAAAGTGCAGACAGTGATTACAGTCCCTGCTCAGTGATAGCTGGGGATAATAATAATAACAACAACAACAACAGTACTACAGCGCAGACAGTGATTACAGTCCCTGCTCAGTGATAACTGGGGATAATAATAACAACAACAACAACAACAGTCTATAGTGCAGACAATGATTACAGTAGGGATCGACCGATTTTCAGCAATATCAGTATCGGCCAATTCAGATACAGATATTGCCGATAATACCGCCTAGTACCGCCAGGCCCATTATAAACCCGGCGGTCCTGGGGGGACGGACAGCAAGCGCTTACTCACCTCCCAGCAGCTCCTCCAGCTCCCCAGTGTAACTCTCGCGAAACCGGCGCGGCACGCTGGCCGCGAGAATTACAATAATTAGCACTGTTATTATTATTATCCCCAGCTGTAACTGAGCAGGGAATGTAATCACTGTCTGAACTGTAGCACTGTTATTATTATCATTATTATTATTATTATTATTATCCCCAGCTATCACTGAGCAGGGACTGTAATCACTGTCTGCACTGTAGCACTGTTAATAATAATAATAATAACAGTGCAGACAGTGATTACAGTCCCTGCTCAGTTACAGCTGGGGATAATAATAATAATAATAATAATAACAGTGCTAAAGTGCAGACAGTGATTACAGTCCCCGCTCAGTGATAACTGGGGATAATAATAATAATAATAATAACAACAACAGTGCTACAGCGCAGACAGTGATTATAGTCCTTGCTCAGTGACAACTGGGGATAATAATAACAACAACAACAACAGTATAGTGCAGACAATGATTACAGTAGGGATCGACCGATTTTCAGCAATATCAGTATCGGCCAATTCAGATACAGATATTGCCGATAATACCGCCTAGTACCGCCAGGCCCATTATAAACCCGGCGGTCCTGGGGGGACGGGCAGCAAGCGCTTACTCACCTCCCAGCAGCTCCTCCAGCTCCCCAGTGTAACGCTCACGAGACCCGGGCGGCACGCTGGCCGCGAGACTTACAATGGGGAGCTGGAGGAGCTGCTTTGAGGTGCGTAGGCGTTTGCTGCACGTCCCCCCCCCACAGCTCAGCCAAAGCCATTGGACCACCAGGGATTGCTATATCCCCCTCCCTGGCCAGGCAACAAAAATAATAATAATATAAAAAAATAATAATTTAATAAAAAATGCCCCCTCACACACATACTCCATTATATACACATACACTACACAAACACACGGTGTATATAATGCAGTGTGTTTGTATAGTGTGTGTATATAATACAGTGTGTTTGTATAGTGTGTGTATATAATGCAGTGTGTTTGTGTAGAGTGTTTATATAATGCACACTACACAAACATACTGCATTATATACACATACACTACACAAACACACTGTGTATATAATGCAGTGTGTTTGTATAGTATGCACACTAGACAAAACACACTGCATTATATACACACACTACACAAACACACACTGCATCCACAACACACACACGCACACTACACAAACACACACTGCATCCACAACACACACACTGCATCCACAACACACACACACACACTGCATCCACAACACACACACACACACTGCATCCACAACACACACACTGCATCCACAACACACACACTGCATCCACAACACACACACTGCATCCACAACACACACACACACACACACACTACATCCACAACCACACACTGCATCCACAACCACACACTGCATCCACAACACACACACACACTACACAAACACACATTGCATCCACCACACACACTACACAAACACACATTGCATCCACAACACACACACACTACACAAACACACATTGCATCCACAACACACACACACACTACACAAACACTACACGTGGCATGTATATTTTGTGCATTTACCTTTAGAAATAGTTTTTATTTTCCAAAATGGTAAATGTACAGAATATCTGCAAATTATATCGGCTATTGGCCTGAAAGTTTACAGAATATCGGTATCGGCTCTAAAAAATTAATATCGGTCGATCCCTAGATTAGTCCCTGCTCAGTGACAGCTGGGGATAATAATAATAATAACAGTGCTATGGTGCACACAGTGATTATAGTTCCTGCTCAGTGACAGCTGGGGCTCATAATAATAATAATAATAATAATGATAATAATAACAGTGCTACAGTTCAGACAGTGATTACAGTCCCTGCTCAGTTACAGCTGGGAATAATAATAATAATAATAATAATAATAATAACAGTGCTACATTGCAGTCAGTGATTATAGTTCCTGCTCAGTTACAGCTGGGGATGATAATAATAATAATAATAATAATAATAGTGCTACAGTTCAGACAGTGATTACATTCCCTGCTCAGTTACAGCTGGGGATAATAACATTATTATCCACAGCTGTCACTGTGCTACAGTGCAGACAGTGATTATAGTCCCTGCTCAGTTACAGCTGGGGATAATAATGATAATAATAACAGTGCTACAGTGCAGACAGTGATTATAGTCCCTGCTCAGTGACAGTTGGGAATAATAATAATAGTGCTACAGTTCAGACAGTGATTACATTCCCTGCTCAGTTACAGCTGGGGATAATAACATTATTATCCACAGCTGTCACTGTGCTACAGTGCAGACAGTGATTATAGTCCCTGCTCAGTTACAGCTGGGGATAATAATGATAATAATAATAATAACAGTGCTACAGTGCAGACAGTGATTATAGTCCCTGCTCAGTTACAGCTGGGGATAATAATGATAATAATAACAGTGCTACAGTGCAGACAGTGATTAAAGTCCCTGCTCAGTGACAGTTGGGAATAATAATAATAATAATAATAATGCTACATTGCAGTCAGTGATTATAGTTCCTGCTCAGTTACAGCTGGGGATGATAATAATAATAATAATAATAATAATAATAATAATAACAGTGCTACATTGCAGTCAGTGATTATAGTTCCTGCTCAGTTACAGCTGGGGATGATAATGATAATAATAATAATAATAATAATAATAATAGTGCTACAGTTCAGACAGTGATTACATTCCCTGCTCAGTTACAGCTGGGGATAATAACATTATTATCCACAGCTGTCACTGTGCTACAGTGCAGACAGTGATTATAGTCCCTGCTCAGTGATAGCTGGGGATAATAATAATAATAATAAAATGCTGTAATATTATATTATTGATGATTATTATTGCTATTATATAATATAAAGTGAGGGTATAATCACCTGGTGTCCTGTTACTAACACACATGTCTGGCTGAGCTGGAAGCAGCCATGTTTTACAGGTCACGTGATTAGGAGTACAGGACTGTCACGTGATAACCAAGTGCGGCCATCTTGCTACACCCAGTGTGGATTGAAGAATTGGAGATTGTTCCAGCTCAGTTAGCATATTTCACTGACAGTTTGATAAACCTCACTCACATCACTCTCAGCCCTGCCACCAGCCTGGTTAATAATGTTAACTTTACCAAATATTAATAATAACCAGGAGTTGCTTAGAGTGATTTGTATTTTATTATTAAACCCCTTAAGGACCAAACTTCTGGAATAAAAGGGAATCATGACATGTCACACATGTAATGTGTCCTTAAGGGGTTAAGGACTGAGTCAATAGTACACGTTCTGATCAAAACAAAATGTAAACAAAACCTGGAATTTGCGCCATATATCTGTTCAGGCATAATTCGCCTCTTTCATATTAAAGGAGCACTATAGTGCCCTGAGGGACCCCCTCCCGCCCAGCTCTGGGGAGAGGAAAGGGTTAAAACTTACCTTTTTCCAGCGCCGGGCGGAGAGCTCTCCTCCGATCCTCCTCCTCTCCTCCCTTTCGGCTGAATGCACACGCGCGGCAAGAGCTGCGTGTGCATTCAGCCAGTCTCATAGGCCCGTCCATACAATGCCTTCCTATGGACGCTTTCGTGTTCTCACTGTTATTTTCACAGTGAAAATCACTCAAGCGCCTCTAGCGGCTGTCAATGAGACAGCCACTAGAGGCTTTAGAGGCTTGATTAACCCTAACATAAACATAGCAGTTTCTCTGAAACTGCTATGTTTATAAAAAAAAAAAAAAAAAGTGTTAACCCTAGCTGGACCAGGCACCTAGACCACTTCATTAAGCTGAAGTGGTCTGGGTACCTAGAGTGGTCCATTAAGCGCACCCACACTTATTATATATCATTTTATTCAGGAGAAACAGGGCTTTCATTTCATATCAAATATTTATAAATGAAACATAATTTATTATGAATAAAATAAAAAAAACTGTGATAAATTTACATTTTTGAAAAAAAATTTGTAGTTCAGCCTCACATTTTAGCTGTAAATGTCATAATACTGTTAACTTTTACTGCAAAAAGAGCACATATTTGGATTCAGCAAAGTCTCATGAGTACAACAGTAGACCCCATTAACAGTTGTTACGGTGTTTTGGAAAGTTACAGGGTCAAATATAGCACATTCAATTTTTCTGTTTTTTCACATTGAAATTTGCCAGATTAGTAATGTTGCCTTTGAGACCGTGTGTTTCCCAGAAATGAGAATTATCCCCATAATGGCATACCATTTGCAAAAGTAGACAACCCAAGGTATTGCAAGTGGGGTATGTCCAGTCTTTTGTAGTAGCCACTTAGTCACAAACGCTGGCCAAAGTTAGCGTTCATATTTGTTTTTGTGTGTAAAAAGCAAAACACAAATATTTGGCCAGTGTTTGTAACTAAGTGGCTACTAAAAATGACTGGACATACCCCACTTGCAATACCTTGGGTTGTCTACTTTTGCAAATGGTATGTCATCATGGGGGTTATTCTTATTCCTAGGCTACCATACGCTCTCAAAGGCAACATAACCAATTTGGCAAATTTCAATGTCAAAAAAATGAAATGCAAGCCTTATATGTGACTCTCTAACCTTCCAAAACACCATAAAACCTGTACATGGGGGGGTATTGTTTTACTCGGGAGACTTCGCTGAACACAAATATTAGTGTTTCAAAATGGTAACTTGTATTAAAACGATATCATCAGTAAAAGTGCCGTTCATGTGTGAAAAATGCAAAAAACTTAACTTTCACTAAAAATATTATTTTCCAGAGTAGAACAGTACCCCCATGTACAGGTTTTAGGGTGTCTTGGAAAGTTACAGGGTTAAATATAGTGCTTGCAATTCAAATTCTCTGCACTTGCTGCCTGGGTTGTCAGGCGATTGTGTTAAAATATTACTTAAATATACACGTAGAATTTTAATATATATACATATATATGTATTTAAAGTCTACGTGTATACTAATGTAATCTTTTATGTAATTAGATGTATTTATCTATATATATATATTTGCGGTTATTTGTATTTTATATATAGATATATTTGTGCTCGGAATTTAAATACGTAATGGATAGTATCTGTGAGCAAAGTTGGTTGTGGTGTGCCGAAACCAACGTACGAGTGGGCCTGTAAATAAAAGAGGGCCCACCAAGGATAATGTAGTTAAAACAGGGTGTAGGTGGGTGGGGACAATCAGCTGAGCGGCAGCGGTGAGTAGGGGCTGGGAGTTTAAGTAGGGGACTTACTCCTCCCACAAATTCAGGCCTAATGGCCTTTCTACTTGTGCTCGGAATTTAAATACGTAATGGATAGTATCTGTGAGCAAAGTTGGTTGTGGTGTGCCGAAACCAACGTACGAGTGGGCTGTAAATAAAAGAGGGCAAAAAGATAAATTCAAGAAAATACACACTTTATTGCATTTTACAAGACCAAGTTCCTGAAAGCTTGGCGAAGCTCTTTCTCTGGTTGCGGAATATATGCGTTATATATGGAGGATTTCCATTGCCCGAGCCTTTTGATGATGTGGACCGGTGCGTTTGTGCTAGAGGCTGCTGAGGCGGCTCCTATGCGGAAGGAGTGCCCGGAGAATGCAGCCGGGTTGTGTCCGAGCTTAGATAACAGGGTTCTGACATGTAACATCAATTTAGCCGTGGTAAGCGGATACCCTTGTAATGTTAAGAGCGGAGAGTCTGGCAGGTGAGTGTGAAGAGTTGACCGTAGTTGGTCGAGAACTTTCACCGGACACCAGGCATTATCAGTAGGGAAGAGAGGAATTATAGTAGGATGTATTGATCGGTTGGTTTTCGTGGTAGGGATAGAAAGGAGGTAGTGATCCTCTACCTTGGTGAGGTGTGAAGTTTTAAGGCATCGTGCCATATCTCCTTGATCACGGTGAACTCTCTAGGTCTGAGAAAACCGTAGAAAGCGAGATATATGGCAGATTTTATCACTGTATTGGTGTAGCTATCAAATGGGGCTGTGTCAAGGAGATTGCTAAGTGACCTGAAGATAGGCCCGTCTATGGCTAATCTAGTGCTTGCGAGTGGTGGTGAAACCTTTGATATACCTTTCAAGACCTTTTTAATGGGGTATGAAGACAAAAAAGGAGTGCTGTTAGGAAAATTGGTGAGGCTGTGGTGCTGAACCCCGGTGAGGTAAAGTTTAATGGTGTTGTGTGACAGATTAAGGTGTAGGTGGCAAAAAGAGGCAAAAGACACCATGGTTTGGATAGAAAAGTCACCTTGTAGCCCGAATTCTGCAGTGAATTTGTTAAATATGTTAAGTGCCCTATTGTAAGTGATAGCAGTGTTGGGTGATAATGCTTGGTGAGTGAGTGATCTAGCGTGAAACAAGAGTGTGCTTAATCCAATATTAGTTCGTGAAACCGTGGTGTCCTGGATGGCTGTTGGTGAGCTGCTGGGAGTGCCTGAGAAAATGCCTGGAATCGAGAACGAGAAAGGGCGTCAGCGGCGGTGTTGTGAATACCCGGGATGTGAGAACATACTAAGTGAAACTGATTGGATGCTGCCAGCCAGGTCAACTTGCGAATCAGCCGCATGATGGTCAGGGAAGATGAGCGCCCTTTGTTAATGATATCGCAAGCTGCCGAGTTATCTGAGTAGCATTTTACTGCCTTGCCGGACCAGAGATGACCCCAGGTGTGTGCGGCCGCCACAATGGGGTAAATTTCAAATAGGGCTGAGGTCTCCCTGAATCCTGGCAAGGCATCCGTCTCAGTGGGCCAGTGGCCCCTAAACCAGTGGTTCCCGAAAATGGCTGCGAAACCGGTGTTGGCTGCTGCGTCTGTGTGGATGATGGGTGAAGAGGTGGAGAGAGGGGGGATAAACATGGAGATACCATTCCAGTCTTTCAAAAACTTCCCCCACATAGCCAAGTCAGCCTTGGCGTGGGGGTCCAAAGAAACTGTGCCGGAGTCCGGACTCCGTGGAGCAGGCAAAGAAGTCTGGAAATGAAAGACCTTCCCTGCGGAATGATGCGCATGGCGAAGTTCAGAGATCCAAGAAGGGACTGAAGTTCTCTCCTGGTGCAAACGTCATTCCGCAGGAACATGTCTATCTCCCCTCTCAATCGTGAAAGTTTGTCGTGTGGAAGGCTAGCTCTGAGTTTGACAGAATCGAGCTCTATGCCTAAAAAGGTCAACTTAGTAGTGGGTCCTATAGTTTTGGCTGGGGACAAAGGGACTCCCAGTGTGGAAAAAAGTGCGGTAGTACTATTGATTGCTGTGGGTGTTGATGACCCTGGCTCTATCAGTAGAAAGTCGTCTAGATAGTGAATAACGGAGTGACACCTGATGACGTTCAGAAGCAGCCAGCATAGTGACTCAGCGAAAATGTCGAAAAGTTTGGGGCTGCTTCGGGAACCAAAAGTGAGTCGTGTTGAGAAGTAATAATACCCTCGCCATTTAACACCGTGTAAGTGCCAGAGTGAGGGGTGTATGGGCAGTAATTTAAAGGCGTTAGTGATGTCTGTTTTGCTGAGCCAGGGTCGATTACCAGATGTCATGATGGACTGTATGGCGTCGTCGATGGTGACGTACTGCAGAGAGAATTCGTCTGCTGGAATGAGTGCGTTTATGCTTGGAACAAAAGAGGAGTGCGGTGCCGATAAATCGATAATGAGACGTTTTTTATTAGAATATTTGTGAATAGCAATACCAATAGGGTTAGTGCGCCAGGAGGAAAACGGTGAAGAGGTGAAAGGACCAATCATGAAACCGTTTGTGGTTTCTGCGGAAATGAGAGTGTCTACAGCGACTGGGTCTAAACGTGCAGACTGGAGATTAGGACATTCTAGTGTACCTGGGGGAATGGCTACTATGCCTGTGTGAAACCCTTGTGAGAAACCTGTGGTGAGAAAATCCACTAAGTGCCTGCTGGGGTGAGACCTTAGATAAAAAACCAGGTTGTCGATATTTATGTCGGTTAGTCATTTGTTTGGTGACAACCTG